GTATCCATATAATACCTACACGCTTGCCCCATATGTCTTTTTAAAACAAAAAAAAGCTCCGACGTAGGCGAATTTCGTTGTATTATTGCAACGGGGCTCGACTAAACGATCCGCTTACTCGGACAAAACATAACGAGGAAATACTGCGCTCGCGCGTCCATACATACATACGCACACGCATGCACAGCGCTGTAACAATGCTGTGTAAAAGTTGAACGTCCGCCGCGTGCGCCAGAAAATATTTTCCAGCATTATCAACGAAATTCGATGTATGTACACATCGTTTACACGTCGAATCTGACTCGAGCTTAAAGTTAAAAGAAAAAAGCTTACGCGCTGTTAAAAAACACGCGTGCGCATATGTGAGAGATACTTTTCGTTTACGGCGTATCGAGTATAAAATACGTGCCGTGACGACTGCGTAAAGGTGCCTCCTCTTGACGCCAGTAGCAGTGCACGCGCGGCGATGATCACCGACGAGCATCGAATCGCAGTTAAGAAAAATTTATGTACGTTTCTGTCTCGCAGCTCCTCTCGCTTTGCTTTTTCGTTGTTGTCTTTTTGTTTGTTTTGTTTCTTCCTGTAACACCTGCTTGGCGCGTGCGTGTCCCGAGTTCACAAAAAGTATACGCACGCAGACGAAAAAAAAAAAAAATACTCACGCATACGTACGAAATAAAAAAAACGAAAAAAGAAACGTGACCACACGATGTCGGAATAATAATTTATTTTTTATGAAAGAGAGAGACGCGTGTAATATATACAGCGTCTCGGGGATTCATTGTTGCCGTGGCAATACGTGTATAACTGTAAAAAGCGCCCAAATGAATTACAAGTTAGTGGTCAGAGAGCACAATGGAAAGAAATTTCTAGTGTACAGGCGAGAAAAATGAAAAAAAAATGGTCCAAGTTCACAGGTGCTGTTGCTGGTGTCACGAGCGCTTAATTGAAATGTCAAATCACGACGACGACGACTATAAGCTCGGCATGTGCGGCGGCTGCGTTAGATTGTCTCTGAAAAAGGGGGGGGGGGGACACTTTTCAAACGGAAAATCCATCATAATCTCTCGCATCATGTTCGTACTGACTTCTCACTCACACAACACATACACACACGCGTTCATATATAGAACCTGTATAGTGTGTATGCGAGACCGCAAGCCCACGAATGATTTATCACGTATAAGTCGAAAAATAGGCTCTGCGCGGAGCTGTCACGATACGCGCGCGGCAGACACAGACAACAACGGAGCGCGCACACGACTGCGTGTGTGCACACGGGCTCCGAGTATGAGTGTCAGAACTCGCGTGCGCAAAGCCCTTGACCCGGCGTCGTCGTCGTCGTCGTTGTCGCGAGACCTATACTAAATAAACTTCGGCTCCCTCGTCAGTACTGTACGGACGATATTTTTAAACCGCGTCCTCCGTTCCGTATACGCAGGCTCTCGCCTTTCTTCGTTTAGGTGCCATCTGTCCCGATGCGCGTTTAGGCGATGTATTACATTTGCGCACGCACACGGCATACGCTGTGCACGCATAAATTAATAATATTATAAATGTACCATTGCCATTTCGTTTATTGTGTGCGCGTGTGGCCAGCTCCGAAATCGACTCCCAAACGAATAGGCAATATATATAATTGGCACTTTACCGCCTATAACTCACCCATCGTCTTGTATGTATATCGTGCATAACAACAGAAGTCGTGTACACTCGTTCGAGCTTCTTTAAGGGTGCGTTACGAGGAGGGGGGATATATTATCTTACTCTTCGAATTCGCCTCAATTTCTTTTTACTCCGCAAACCTTTTAAGAGTATTCGAGGTACATAATAGCTGCGTATATATTATAAGTGTACGCGGCGTATATGTGTGTGTACGTGCGTGAAAAAGGTGGCGAGGGCTTTTTTCCGGTGTGCGTATCGCGGCTTCTATTGTTTCGAGTGCCACTTTAACGCCACCAAGGTCTTATACATATAGGTACTGTATATAAAATGCGCAGGGTGGCTGCGCGCCAAGGAGGAAAGGAAGGTGATTTACATGTTCATTGTGTTTTTTTTTCTTTCTACAGTGCAGGGGGTGGTTGATGAAGCATGTAACGGGTAATGAAGTATTGTCACCTACATTACTCGCGGAGAGACAGAGGAAAATGACAATTATTTCTTTGTTACATTATACTTTATCATAGAGAAAAAAAATTTTATGAAATAATCGCTGCGCCATATAATATCCTCATCCTGTTGGCTCGATAATGTAGCGCAACAAGAAAGAGAGATAGAGAAAGAGAGAGAAAAAAGTTCGTTTCTCGAGCTGCAGCACGTGTTCGCGCTCGTGTTCGTAGCACACACAGGCATAATAATTGATCGTAGCAGGAAAAAAGGCAGGCACAGGCAGGCTAAAGCTCGTGCTGGAATAGATAAATCGGACATTTGTTGCGTATTATATCGCTCCAAGGGGGTTATATACGTATACGGCAGAGCCTAGTGCCGGGAAACGGATGCCGATGCGACCTTTGCGATAAAATAGCGCGCGCTCGCGAGAAGCGCACGAGAGATATAGATATATTACTGAAATCACGAGTCCGCCTGTACTCTAGGCGTTTGCGGGCTTACTCTATGCGATGAGCAACTTCATTTACGTACAAAAATGTTGTACGTTCGCGTAAGCTCTGTGCTCGCCATTATTTTATTTTATTGTATTTTTTGCGTGGATAGGCATTTTTTATGAAGCGATCGCGCGAGACATGTGTACATTTACAATAAAACACGCAGCATGACTGCGAGAAGCTAGCTCATCCTTACTTTTTTTTTTTAACCGCGGGCAAATTGAAAACAGAGAGCCTCGCACGCAACTAGTATCGGGTTACGCGGGCTGCTACTTGGCATTCCGGAGTCGTCAATAATCTATCATCGCACCACCACACGCGTACACAGCACACACACACACACATGTACAATACACAAAGTAAAATATTAAATGCAATCGTATACATTATATTTGCGAGTCAAGCTCCTTGTCATCGTCATGCAGATCGCGGAGCTCGCGCGCGACATTCCGATCAGTTCGTCCATACAGCTCGGTTTTACGAACGATTTCTCGGCTTACGGTTTTTTTCTTAAAGGCCCGTACAGTGAGTACTTTATCGAAAATTTTTAAAAGTGCTGCACTTTTGCCTCGTAACGCTTAAGTATCATTTTGTTGTTATACTGTCACCCCCTTGACTATGGAGAGAGACTTGTATTGAAGTTTTTTTCTATTAGCTCTATTTTTATGTCAGTAAAATTACCGTTTAATCGAAAACATCTATCAATGAATGATGATTATTGTGAGATGTCTAATTAATTAAAACTTGAAAGTATGGATTTTTTTTTTTTCAATTTTTAATGAACATAATAACAATCGAGTCCATAATTTAACATTAAAGAAATTACATGAACTAATTAATATTGAGGAAAGCAAAGTCTTCGTCCTCTCAGTTTGATCATTTTCGTCATATTTTTTGACAAAGGTACCTCATAAATGGTTGAATAGATCAATATGAAACTTTCATTGTTACACCTACATTATCAAGCTGATTATGCAGTTTTGTGTACTTTCAATACAATTGGACAAAATTAACCTAAATTTCTGTAATTTAAGGAGAATTTTATACAAAGAAAAAACTGCGAAACTTATAAACGGAATTTTTCCGGTTGCAACGAGATGGATAAAATAGAAGCTCGGATATAATTGATTAAAAATTTGATTTTTATGATCGTCTAATACAAGATTTAAAATAAAAATTTGCGTAGACTCATACGCAAAGTACCACGACAGATCGCTAGGTGGCTATATCCTATTTTCCAATAAACTCCAACACAAAGTGACAAATATCAGAACTTATATATAAGTTATACATATATATTTATCATATATATATTTCCATAAATTATATATGTATTAAAAGTTATATGCATAATACATATTTATAAGAAATACATAAATAATTCCACTCCAACATCTTTCAATCTTAATGGAAGATAACTTATATTGGCCTTAATTTTTTTGTCCACCTTCATCTTATTCGTCTTCCTTCGCCGCTCCCTCGCTGTACACAACAGCTCGCCGTAGCAACAGCTGCCCGGCACACGCATATATATCTGTGCGATGCTGTATTCAGTGCTTATATGTATGCAGGTGTCGAGCGCACCTGCGCGCGAGCACGCGGGGATAATCATCAGCTGCTCTACTCCGCATGCATATAACACAGCACACGCGTCGCGTGCGTTCGTATATATATAGGATATTGCCGTCCACTCGGTGCGCGCTCAGATTTTGCGTTTGCGAGAGAAGACGACAACCACGAATAAATGTATTCACGCGAGCTACGTGTGTGTGTATATAAGGAGATGGATCGTATTATATACCTGTTGGCAAGATTTGTGTTATGAAATATTAAGTGGCACTCGATGATGTTGACGTCTCTCTTTCTCTCCAAGAGCCGAGGACGAGTCATAACGCAACTGCTGCTTCTGGTACTGATGCTGCTGCTGCTGCTGCTGTGAATTGCGGTTTACGTGCACACGTGTGTGCGTCGATATGTGTATACATGTTTTTTTGGAGCCAAGCCATCGCATGCCTCGATTGCTCTTCAGTGAATATCGCCCTCTATTGTATCCTCGGCCTTTTGCTCATCATCTTCTCCTCCCCTGCGCAGGAAGCTTAATATTTATACAAAGTATATGACGAAGAAAAATATTTTTTTGACGTTTGGTCTGTGTACAGACCCCGCACGAGTGTATCGTCTTACTCCGAAAGTTTCGGTGTTGCTATATTTCAAGGCGCGCTCTTATGCATAGACTCGTATCATTATGAATGCGAACTAGCCCCGCGCGTGCCCGCCCGAGCACCTGCTGTCGTTGCTGCTTCTGTCTGTCTCAAAACTTAAATCTACATAAATCATCATAAATCAAGAACCTATACAATGAAGTTTTATTCATTTTTGCTCTTCTTCTGTTTGCAGGCTGCAGCCCTGAAAACGGCGTGCCGGACATGACGGTGATCAGCGACATCGACGAAATAGGGATCAATCGCAATCTGCAAGTCCGCTACAGCCGAGATGAAATATACGTATCCTTTTTGCCATAGAAATAGAAAACGAAAAGAAAATGAAAAAAAATGTGCCACCTCACGGGGGCGCGCGCGCGCTCGCTTTGCAGTGATTACTCAAGCTCGTAAGAAAAAAACAGGCATCTCTCTTTCTCTCTCCCCGTGCCGTGCTTCATGTTTGAGGAACCTACTTACCCCCTTGGCTTCGAACTTCAAAGAAAGCAAAATAAAAAAGAACTTGCACTCTCGAGCGAGAAAGTGAACTCCCGCGTGTGTTCGTTGAAACTCACCGCTCGCGGTAAGAAAAGTAAGGGCATACGCCGCTGTACCTGCCTTATATTTTGTACACCTCACCTGCTTCGACGACGACAACGACGACGCGTGCCTGTCAATTATAGAGTGCGTGTAAATACGCGTACATTTATTCGCAACGACTGGTGCGCGCGTGGCGTATAAGGTACGGCTTCGATCACGCGCGTCGATGGATCCGAAGACGAGCTAATTAATCTGTATAGAAAAACTGCGATTATCGGTCGCGCATTCAAGACGCGTTTACGTACCTGCCGATTCACTTACACATGGCTGATTTACTTTACATATTTTCTTCGGCGCGTATTAAAAGCATATCATTAATGGAACTTTATCGTCGATTACTCATAATAGTCTCTTTTACATGTATTAATATTAAAGTTGACTAGACACTGACAGTGCACGCTTCATCGTACCGTCATCGATTTACGAAGATCGCGAGTAATGGACTTTTTTTTATCAAAATTTTTTTCCCGCATAGCTCCTCGAGGTTTCTTTTTTCCAGCGTCGATTTGCAATGAACATGTACACACGGGCGAAGGGCGGTACGGCCACATCCAGCATTATTTAATCCTACTGCCTACGTCCATGTAGCACTTTGGGGCAAGAGCGGGGAGGGGTGTAAAAGTTAGGCGCGTTACCATGTCAACGAGGTAGAGCTGCCAGAACACCCCCTGCGAACGCTTACCATAGTCAGCTGGTCTCTCGCTCTCTCTAGAATTCGACGAAATACATTCCTGGGAGCATGTGCGGGGTCATTCATCTTATCGCCAACGAAATTCACACTTGTACTTAAATCCATCGACGGAAATCGCACAGACACATTCGTAATTTCGGCGCGATTCGTCGAAAAACAGCTCAGCGCCTGTTAATATAATCGAAGGGTGGACCGTATAATTAAGGACCTATCGACGCTACGCTGATCGATGGATTCGTTATTGTCCCTTTGATTAAAGGGAACAAAGAGCGCGTCGAGTGCAGAAAATTTTCTGTGATTGTGAAAAATTTCTCTCTGGCTCTTAGTCCGAATCGATTTAAGGCTCTAGTTATACGTATAGGCACATAAAAGCACCAACTCGGCTGCTTTCGAGAAAAGAGAGTATTGTAAATTCGAGCCTTTATCGCGACGTTTGCAAAATAAATGGCATACATAAATATAATAATATCCGCAGAAAAGAAGATCTTTGCGGGGGCGTTTCGTATTTCCAAACGAAGAAAACCCCTTTCGAAGTTTGCGCATTTTTATTTTGTATATCCATCAAAGAAGCTCGTTGCAGATTCGAAATATCTATAAAATAAAATTGAGAGATATGACTTTGAGTCGAGAGTTCTCTCAGTATGCGGCAACGATCTGCATGTACATATAACAGAAAAAGGCCTCGCTCTCTTGAGTCGAGCCCTGCGGCTCGCATTTCGTGTGTCTCCGCCGTATCATGCACAGAGAGAGGGGTTGTAAAAAAAGACTTTCGCTGAATAGATCGAGTAAATAATGACAGCTTCGAGCGAACGGTCTAGTCGTCATTACGTTTAACTCTCGTCGTCGTTGCCGTCGTCGTGTGCAGTTCACTTCTTTTTTTTTTTCATACGAATGATTCGATGCGCATTTAACCCTTTTTTGTCGTTGTTGCCCTGCACGCGCGTGACTCTTTTGTTCGGCTCTCTCCTTTTTTTCTCTCTTTTAAAAGATTCAGCTTAATCGTTCGTGTGAAATCACCCTGGCAGCGATTATAACGCGTCTCTTGTCATATACAGTTATTATACGAGCTCAGGGGGATCGACGTACGTATGGATCACGATCTTAATTTTCAAATATTTACTCGTGCACGGCGATCGCGTCGATTATTAAACGTTGTAGGCCCCTTAATCATTTATATATTCAACAAAAAATCCGAGGTTAAACTGCTCCCCGATAGTTTTCATCTCGCTGCCAGCTCGAAATGGATTTACACATCCCAGCAGACATTCGAGATCAAACGATATGGAGCGGTATACGTATGTATATGTACGAGGCAATTCACCCTGTGTCTTCTTATCGCGTCTCTCTCGCTCTCTTGTAAGCCAGTTCTCCGACTGCGCGCGCCGGCACTATTGCGTTCCCAGCATTGTCTACCTTCAAATACATAGCTATTAAATCGCTATATACATGGCTGCATGGTAATAGCGGCCAATTAAGCTTCTCTAAAATATGATAAACGTCGCGCGCACGAACCTGAAATTGCGCGTCTTCTTCTTTCCCTCCCTGTTTTTTTCCACCGTATGTACGTGCAGAGAGTCGAGATGCTCGCGCTAATTAAAAAAAAAAAAAGAAAAAAAAATGTCATGCAACGCGAAGCATTTTTCCGATATGATTACGTTCGAGCGCGACGCAGCAACGGTATTTATGCAACGTCTCGAACTTGTTCGTATCAAAAGAAGATAAAAGTTCGCACAGCGTACACACACACACACACACAGTGGGGATCGACGCCGGGGATGACTCTTGAGAAAAAAAAAGTTGAAAAGAAATATCGCTGATATATATACGAGGTACTTTGTTATTATTGGCTCTACGATAGGTCAATGTACCGCTAAGACCCGAGATATGGGTGTTGAAATAAGAAGGGGGTTTGGATCTGCGTGAGTGAATATAGCATTACATCTACGAGAAGATTGCACGAAGGCTGATATACATTTGTGGCGTAAGATTAAAAAAAACCCCAAGTGATACGGGCCGTTGAGAGAGACTTGCTATGGGAAATTAATTTTTTGCTCGATTTTTCAATATTCGTTCGGTTTGATGTAAAAACGACAAATTGTTGTGAATATGCTCGTCCCGTTATTTCATCACTGTACGAAGTCTTGTAACCGAATTCTCAACGTAGGCATGAAAATATTCACTGCACACGTGTGTATACGCCCGATGAAAAGAAAAAAAATGGGGTTAATGGTAAGTGACCCGAGCTATATACGCGAGGTAGATCGCTTTACAGGTGAAGTGCAACAATCTGCTGCTGCTGCTGCAGAGGGTAAAAAGGGAGCAAGCGAGAAAAGAGAGCCTATATACGTATATTTTTGGAAAAACTCCCGAAAGGTTGGCGCGGTTTTAAGTATTTTCATCCCGCAGGTATACATTCGTGCACCTTTATTAGCAAAACATGTAGGACGAGTGGATAGAGAGAGTAAGAGAGAGAAAAAAAAGGAAACATAATCTGCATATTCGAGCGTCGTTACAAAGCCCAACACATATCCCATTGATCCCTTCATACGCGCGCGAAGCTCTCGGCATAAATCCATATCAGGTACTCTGTAATATGCTCGTGTGACTCGACATGAAAATCTGTACACAGCTACGTGCATACATCTGTACAAGGCAAAGAGATGCATACACGCGGCATATACACCGCGTTCCAGCGCGGCACACAGCGACGGCTCTTGGAAATTAGCTCGATGTTTTCCACTCTAATTTTCACACTTCGATCGCGTATCTCTCTTTCTCTACCCCCGAGAACTTGTGCGTGGTACAACGACCTAAAAATGAAAAAGAAAAAAAACACCAACAAGCGTCGTTATGATGTTATATCATAGGTTGAGGCAGTTTCAAGAGCTTTTATTGAACGACAAATAAGTGAGTCGGTTGGCTAGCTGCGTAGGTATTTATCTTAGATTGGTTTGTGTCTCGCAGATGATTATTTATTTATGTATTAATTTTTTTGTATGAAAGCTCGGCGGTTTGTTCATTTCCATTTCGCAATGCCAAGCTTTAGAAAATACTTATTACACAAAGTCGTATTTACCTAGAGGATCAAAAATCATGGCTTTCGGTGCGCGCGAACATCGACCCCGATAAAACTCATTTTAATCTGGCCAGCGTTCAAAAGTCAAAAGTAACGTACAGACACACAAAATAGAAGTAGGCTATCGGGCATCGCGATGGCGAAGTACAACCAAACGTAAAGATACGCAGAGTCGCTTTGCGCAAAATGCACAAAAAAACCCGAAGAAAGAAACTTATAGATAATATGTAAAAGCCATCCCGGAATTGAATTCGTCGATTTAATTGCTCTCGAGTGTTTACACCGATAGTACGTGCTGTAGCAGTAGTAGTAGCTTTTCAACGCTAGATCGAGTTTCAAAATAAAAGCCTCCTTTTGCGTGCGCGTTTATAGTGGTGTGTATGCTCAACTGCGCGTCGTCATCGTCGTCGTCTTATCTCTGGCTTTGAAGCATATTTCACGTGTACGGTAGTATGCGTTGTATGACACACACACACACACACGTACTCGTGACACTTTATGGGCTGCAGTTCACCATCCCCCTTGAATTTTTTTTTCTTCACCGCCGACGCTGCCGCATTAGACTCGGCGCGCTCGACGTAGTACCATTAGCTTAGCACACCCTACCTCGGGCGCACTGTACAATATATGAGTCATGTTCTTGCACGTCTATATATATTCTGTATATAAGTTCCCCCCTTCGGCATGTGTATAAGTGACGTCATTCTCGGCTGCACGTCTTCATGTATACATATATACACAATATGCGCTCGGGTAATATGGGAGTTTTAGCCTGTGCGCAATTTAGCGTACTCCGCTCGATTATCCGAAAATATGGATTATATAGTTTTGTGCGAATACCCATAACGAATTATGCGTATATCTATCGATGGATCGCTCGCTTTTGTATACGATAGCGATATGCAGGGCCTCTCTGTAACCGACGATTCAGGAAAACACAGCCGTGAACCCCCGTGAGCTCGAATGAATATAACGACTGGCCTTCGCGAAACAATCGAGAGTGCCGCAGCTAGCGCCTGTACATGGACTGATTTGACTACCAAATTTTGCAAATAAACGGAGCAGGAACACTATCGCGTACATAATACGCGCAACTCCTTGGGCAGAAATAGAGAGAGAGAGAGAAAGAGAAAGAGAGGATATATGTAAGTTATACTCACTCGTGAGAACCCCCTCTAATTGTTTCAACAGATACTATAATTATAAAGAAAGTATAAAGATGTAATTACGATTCATGCACTTTTTTTAAAGGACATTCGTCGCTGTCATATTATCCTTGACTCTAGAAATGTTATTTTTTTTTGGGAAAATAGACGTACACAGGATCGATCCTCATCGCGGTGAACCCGTACAAGGAGGTCGACGTCTACACTCTGGTAAGTTACAACAATTCATCCGTTGTTTTCAGTGAAATACACAAGCATCGCACACCCACACTACACACATTTGCACGATATACAGCCGGGCGCCGTGCATTATGTATATCGTTTCAAGGCCACGCACATTTCGCATCTTTGCCTTCTTTCGCAAATAAGCGTGCATTTGTGTACACGCGCGCGCGAGCTCAGTCAGTGAAATAAATGGAGGTGCATCCGGAGAGGACGATATTTTATGTATGTGTGTATACTTACGCACCGTGGCCGCACACATGCCGATATCGTGTGCGGCGTCGGTGGTGGCGCGGATGCGTCGAGAACTGCGTCGGAATAACAAATACTGTATACTCACCTCGGCTGCATGTGCCCAATGATCGAACTGCACGTGTGCGTTGGTGTATACGAGCTTTACGCAAACTCGCGCGAGTTCATTAATTCTCTTCTTTTAGCGTGCGTGCGAGGCAGTAAAAAAATAAAATAAAATAAAATAAAATAAAATATAATAAAATAAAATAAAAGAAGTAATTTCCGACCATTGTGGCGCAAAGGTTCGTTGTTTTTAGCACGCACACACATGTGCAGGGGGTGTATCCAATTGAAAATAAGCCCCCGTTGATTACTCTCGAGCAAAAGCGAAATTGCATCAATCGATGGCATCGGCCGGATAATCGACATCCGTGCGAGGACATTTAATTGCTTCATGGTTCGCGCGACCAGGTTGTTTTCCGCTGAGGCTGTATTTATCACTTTTTGACAATCGAAGATTGTAGGCTCAATTTTTCTTGCATCGGATGAAACTCAGTGTGTAACATACATCGATTCACACCAACAGCATCTCTGTTTCAGTTTAAACGTACTTTCTCTGTAGAACTCACGATACAGAATTTGCCGAGGAAATTATCGTAAAGTTAGTTGGGGTTAGTTATAATAGGAATCATTGGAGTCATAGATGTGTCCAAGCGAGTACGAAAATTCGAATATGAATTCAAGTAAAAAAAAGGAGTTTATGAGCTTCCAAAGACTGTTGACGCAGTCCTCTTTCTGAATTTCAACTCATAATGAGGTTTACTAAAAAATACGTATTATAATTATCTCGATTAACGCTTCGTGTTTAAAAATAAAAACAAAAAGTTAGTACGAATACTAATTCGGCATAATTTATGTTGGAAGAAATGTAACACAACGTATCATCTAAATTGCGATTTAATTAGAGCAGCGTAATATTTTTTTCAAATGTTTAATGTATTAATGGCTCGATAAATTAATGACAAACTGATGAGAAAATTAAAGCCGCGCACGAGAGTAGCTGCTGTCGATCGCGTACGTGCCCCCCTGCATTACTGTATACCGCGCGTACGTGGATTATCGTTTTGATTGAAAATTCAACCATGCTTATGAATATTGTATAAGCCCGCGAGTTATCCATTCATGATTGGATGTAATAGTCCCCCCCCCCCCCCCCCCCCCCCCCCCCCCCCCCCNCCCCCCCCCCTCCCTCTCCCCTACCTATATACCTCCGTTCTTGAAATCCTGTGCATCGATTTTCTACGTACATAGCTCGAGACTTTTCGGGGTGAAAAACAAGTCGAAAGTAGCGAAAGCTTGGTTTCGAGACTTTTTCGTACGCTCGAGGATTTTTACGAGCCTCCGGGAGACGAACTTTCTTCCTCATATACTTTCTGCAAAGTGCCTATCTTGCAAGCGATGTTCGCAACTTTACGCCCTCTAGATTTGGTATTAGACGAAAAAAAATATGCATTCACACAAATATATAAGTGTCTACGTTGATACTCACGACTTCAATCAAAATATTAAATAAAAGAAAATAGCGTTTGGTTCGCTATACTACTGAATGAAAAATTAAAATTGCAACGAGAAATTTTTTTCTGAGTTTACTTTAAAAAATGTTGAGTATTTTTTCTCTCAATAATTATTAAGTTCAGAAAAGAAATGTCTCCATGGATTTAATCAGTGAAAATCCTTAACTTTTCTTAAAATTTGCCAGAATTGGATTTTTCCAAATAATCTAAAATAATCTCTAAAAGTTCGAAAAAAATGTGAGAATGTTTGTACATCAATTCTATTTTTGTGTTTCAAATTTTTCTTCAAACTCAATAATTTTCGAGGAAAACTTTGGTGTTTTGTTCATGATAAACTTGTTAAATTTTAGCCGCTAAGTAATGAATAGGCAATTTGAGATCTTTTATTTCAAATGATCCTGTGGTTATCAACAGAAAAGTTCAAACTTGCTTTTTAAATTAATTTATTTGAATGACATAGAAAATAAACAAAATTGAATAACTGCACTGAACCGTAAAAAATACTACAAAGATGCTAATCGCCATTACGAGCTCTGGACTGTAGATGCCAAGCATATATTGAATAAATCCTTGTTCGTGAATGTGTTATCGAGAATTATATCACAGCACTCGAGTGGGAGTCGGTATCTTATCAGCTCCCAAAAACAATCCAGAGCCCATCGCCGAAAAAATTTTCTTGATACTAACTCACACAGATAAAAAACACAAGGCAGTTTAACGTTACATCTTACATAAAACATTAAATTCCTCTTCCTCGAGCATGCGAACTTGAAATAGTCCTCACATGTGAGTAGTTTCGAAGCCTCTTCGGGTCGCAACTTCATAAGGTCAAAAAGCGACAGACTTGGGTTGATCATGTTCTCTTTTGCTTTCTCTACATACCATTTGTCGTCATACCAATATTCGACAACTTTCTTGGGAATTACGTGCTTCAAAAATTCTACCACCCACAAGGGTTCAGTCAGTATCTCCGACATCTTGAACAAATTGTACTTAGCGAACCATTTCATTATCGTTAAAGCGTCGCTTCGGTCTAATTCATATCCTCTATTCTCAAGACGTTCGACGACAACCATAGCGCCAGACGCTTGAACAAATGGAAAAAAAGACTCATAATCTTCATCTATCGGCTTAAACACCTCGCCAAAGTAACTCTCGCTAGGAAAAATGAAACCGAAAAGATTAGCACCACGATCCAAGAGTACATCGACAACATACGGCGAAAGACTCGCAACAGCCCATTGAAGCGGTGTCCTACCCGAATTGTCCCGGGCGTCGATCTGCACCATGTGATGCCTATCGTCGTTGATCTGTAAAAATGTCTTCAGCAAATCATCCTCCAAGTCTCTCTGGCAAATAAGGTGGAGAGGAGTAAATCCCTTTTTATTGGCCAAAGTTAAACTGGCGCCTCTTCTGAGCAGCAATTCGGCCACTTCTTTTCTCTGATTGTCCAGGGCCACGTGCAATGGTGAATTGTCTGTGTCTTGCAAGAGATTAGGATCGTACCCAAGCTCGAGGAATTGCTTTACCACGTCGGTGCATCCTGCCATGCAGGCCGAATGAAAATGAGATGTTCCGAATTCGTCGATATAATTTACCTCAAACTTATCATATATTTGAAAAAGCATACCGACGTAGTCTTTAACCCTTAACTTGCTGTACCTATTAACCACGTGTATTGGTGTGGTGCGACGCAACAGTGGTTTGCCGTCGGCATCAACTTTGGGTGTGTCCTTGTAGCCAGAATGAATCACGATTTCAATGAAACTACATCCTGACCAAAAACCTTTACTTATGCCGTCAATAATAAGACACTCAATTTGATCGGGTTTAAAAATGTTCCCGAGATTTGGAGATTGAACTTTCTCAAATAATCCAATAAATTTATCAAGAAAATCATATCGCTCTTTCTTGATCTCCCAATTGACCTTTGAATGCATTTGCTTTAATTTTTCTAATCGTTCTTGGTCAGTGTAATCTCGGTTTTCACCTTGAACGATAACAAAACGTTTTTCAGATTCGTCGTTGGAGGACATGTCCATCTTTTGGCACAAACACAAACACAACACGCAATCGCTTACAATTTAAAATATTTTTTTTAACGGAAATCTTTCGAGCTGTTCACGCCTATGTGTCTTAACGATTATACTATGCTGGCTACTCTATGATCTATTTTATTTAGAGAGTAAAAAAACACATGGCCGAAGCTATTAAAGATACAAGTAGCGCCCAGCTATGTGTATAACATACGCGGCAATGCTGACAATAGTACACGAATGTATAGGCAACGAAAGCCCATACTTCGCTGTACTTACGCTTTCTAATCGTTACCGATGATTGCACGTATAGGTGTAGTTTTTCGGGTAAGAATCCCGCACGAACAGATGTAAGAAAGAAAGAGATGCACGACGTTACAGACACGTTGTAATTAGGCTGCTTTCACATGATTTGGATTAGGTGCGACTGCGGCCGATGCGACGCCACCATGCGCATTGTGCGTAACTCTAAATCGACCCTTACTTTGTATTATCTTATAAGTTTACATTTATAATTTTACATAGTTTTCGCAGTTAGTAATACTGGTGGAAATTGTATATCATTATTCTAGGCCGGAAAAAATAAGTCGCTGAGCACGGGTAATTAGCGGATGAAGCTGATAAACAGGTGCACACGGGCTTTCTTTTTCCCCCGGTTTTGGCCCGTATGCGATTTATGTAAAATGCAATGCGAAAAATAATATTAATACTAATATTAATGTACTTTAATAATAAGCAACTTGTGCTGATCAACTATTTTATAATAGCGTATAGAAAGTCGATTTTAAGATAGCTAGCCATGCGGGAAAGCGGCACCTTTTCGCAGTGATGAAACTATACGTATGCACAATATGCGTAAAGTATTATCTTAAGTGCCGATTTAATTATTTTCTTTATGAAAAACAGCTATTATTGTTATGAGCAGGTTTTTTCTTTGCTTTGATCTTTAATTATCGTAGGCCTTATGAAACAGAGTTTCAATTCTTGAAAACAGCCCAGTACTTGAAACAAAATTAGCTATTCAAAAATTGAAGTTTTCTACTCGGAAAAAATGTCAATAAAGTCGAGTTTTTCTGGATACTCACTTACCGGCCTTGACAGTAATTTATACATTAAGAATAATACATTATTTATACATTATTCAGTGTGTACAAAAATACTTGGCTTCAATCCTTGCCCAAAATATTACCTCTGCTCGATAATTAATGCTTCGATAAGCTCCTTTTTATAGCCCCCTCCCCTCTTTATTTCTACAAGCGGATTATTTTGTAGTCAATTATACATTTCGAGCATCGTCAAAAGGGATTCGCTTCCGTTGCAAGGTAACGTATATATAGCCTCTCTCGTTGAAACAAGAAATAAAGCGCAGTAAGTAAATACGCCGACGCACGAGCTTTTAGCTCGATGCGAAAAAGCTCATATGCCTCGAAGTAGCGCGTATTTACACGATACACATGTTGAAAATAATTCATTGAACAAACTTCAAACTTCTGGATCATAATTTTTTTATTCTTCTTAGCTGCGAGATCTCGATTGAATAATTTTTCTTTTATTCGAAGTGCAAGTTTGAATGTACCTCGAGTTTGTAATTATAGTTCGTAAATTTGAATAAGCTGCTTCATCGTTGGCTGAACTTTTCCAACTTTGACTTTTGATACATATTTATGAAAAGCGAATTTTCTTGTAAATTGATAAATGCATCATCAACTATTGACTATCGCGTTCATTTTATTGTTCTCCTTTACTCGAACCAACGAAAAGAAAAAAAATGTGCAAGGCGCGCGTGCATTTGATCATAAAAAATGCGCCTTAGAAAAAAGGCACGTAATTCATAATTGAGCTTTAAAGTTTTTGCATTCACGCACGCGCGCGCGCAGTTATATCCCGGGTCATTCACTTCTGCGCGTTTCTTCTACTCGCGCGCACACACATGCTCTGGGTGCAGTATAGCATGGAGAGTTATAATAACGTACATATAAGCAGCGTAAATGCTTGCACTTAATATTACAAAATACGATCGCTTTACCGCTGGATAATTTTAGTTTTGCCTTCCTATCCAAGAGTGTATGTGTCTATTCTCAGTTATATATTTATGGTCTTTGACCCTTTATGGTCATGACACCGGAAACCGAGCTCGGGAAGGACACAGCGGTGGATTGAAACTTTTGATTTCGTCGGATTACTGTGCTCCTGTCAGATACGCGTGTGCTTTTAGCTCCTGATGATGCTTTCATCTAAATTGCTTTCGAGAGAAATTGTTTCGATCGTCTTCAGCAAGAACAGTTACGATTGATCTTTTCTCGTAAATAAGTCGTAAAAATTTACGGGACGTTATGATTTTTCGGAGAAATCTCTTCTTTTCTTCCCTCCCTTGTACTCTACCCATTTAAAACGCGCCCGAGTAATTTTGATAATGACCTGGCCCCTAAGTACCCACCGTCGTCGTCATCGTCGTCGTCGTCAAAGAGATTACTTTCAAGCGTATAATATTGGAGCACGTCATGTAAGGCACCTTACAATTATAACATAGCCTAAAATCTCGAGTAATAATTCATTCACAGCCCTACGAGAGTAAAAGAGAAGGAATAAATGGCAAAAGATTTTAATTTCATCATTCGCGTCGAAAGATATGATTGAAAAACATCGGGTTGAAAAAAACTCTCTCTCAACCCCTTGTACTGCACGAGCCACGGTGCATACATAGTCACGCGTAAACTCGTTTACGCCACTTTTTCATAAAGAGGCGAGCCCCTGCGGCAAACGGCAGCCGCGCGAGAGCGCAAAAATAGTGCGAGCTGGAGAGGGAGCGGGACCGAGCCGCGCTGCACCGCGTTGGCCTCATTCATTTATCTTCTTTTTTTTCTTCCCCTTTCTCTTACCTGTATCCGAATAAGCCTCGCGAGTCATCCGCACTTATAATGCAGCGAGTCTCGCGCGCGCCCACACCCCACATCGAAATCAAAATACGTCGTTCTCCCGAGACGCGCTCGTATCCGCGCGTATAATATCGATGTCCTCAATTTTTCCTTTCCCTATGACGATGGAGAAAAAAAGAAGATGAAATAAAATAAAAGCGCAAAACGGAAGACAAATAAAATGCGTGTACCACGCCCTTTATATACCTGAGTGCTACCGCTACTGCTGCTCACGAGGTCGAATCTGCTTCCCCTGGAGGAGGGTGGAGAGCGGCCAGGATAGCGCAGCAGCAGCAGCAGCAGCAGCAGCAGTGGAACATTATATACCGGCTGAGCTCTATCTGTGCTGCGCTGCGTGCAGAGACCAGCCGACACGGGGTTGCTTGCTGCTGCCGCCGTCGCCGCTGCTGCTGCACACGCCCTGCTTATTGATCGAGCGTTTCGTGAGGCGCGCAAGCTCGCGTTCTCGGCTACATACATATATGGGACTGTGTGCGCTTATACACACTATATACACAGAGAGAAAGGCGTTCGAGGCTCGAACTTCGAGCACTTACATTCGAATGGCATATTAGGCGCTGATTTTGAGAATTTCGTTCTTCTCCTTATTCGCCGGAGCTTATATGCGGTGCGCGCATCCCACCCCATTCGTTGCATCGATGAAGCGCGCGCGACTTTACGAGTGCACAATTCATATAATTATATATATACAATAAACGCGTCTATGTAGGACACGCGAGTTTTATCGGCGTGCGGGTCTCGAGCAGCTCTCTTATCTCGTCTCTCCCTCCCAGCTGTCGTTCGAGTTCGGGGGGCTCGCTCTCGAGGACCTCGGGAGTTCGTAACGAGCTTCCTCGATCGCTCGATTCCGTAATTCGCTCGCCTTTGTTTACGTATCGCGGCAATATTAGCGCGAACGTAAACACAATCTCATTTTGCCTCGTCGTCTTCGTCGTCGTTGCCTCAGACGCGCCGCGATCCGCGTGTACACGACGTTCTCTGCGTCGTCTTATTATTACTCGCAGCATGAGCTATTTTCATCGTATAGCTTCGTCGTTGCTCGCTGCGCACGAGTCGCGTTCGCAGTGGTTTTTCACGTTACACGCGCTATGTACAGGATAGAGCGAGAGAGAGAGAAATAGAGAAACCGTACATAGGGTCGTTATACTCTCTCTACACACCAAGCTGCTACTCGTGTATAATAAGTATACGGTATTGAAATGCACGTCAGTTACATGGCAGGCACGAATATATGTAAAATCACATAACTCTCGGCTGAAGATTTCTCCGGCCTCTTTCAATTCGTTCATTCGCTCGTTGCAATGATTTCGTTTAAAAATATACATTCGATTGATAGGGGATGATTCGCTTAACCCAAATACCTTGACGCGCGAATCGTATCATCCCTGATCTATGTAGAGCGCCAAAGACGACGCGAAAAAAGCAGACTCGTCATCCTTTTGTCTTATACATATAAAGACGGCTGCGGCACATAATGATTGAGCCCAAATCGACGGGATTGACAGTTATATACCTACACGTCCGCGTGACAGCTCTGCACTTTCATCTTTCAAACTCACTGTGCTGTTTCTTTCTATTTTTTTCTTTCTCGTGCCTCCAATAATACACACGTGTATGTGTACGTGTGAGTTTGTATATGCGAGAGTAGTCTCTTTTCATCGACGCCCCGTTTGCGCTATATTGCATGCTGTATAGGGCTCGCGCGGAGACATAACGAGGGTGACCCACTCGAGAAATGGGCCGTTCTCGTGACACGGCTCGCGCGCGCCCGAGAGAGAAAGAACGTCTCTTCGTTATGCTCTTCAAAGGTCACTCAAGTTCTCTCTATGTACATATGAGCGCGAGTTTTCTCGGGCGCTTCGGAACGTGTATGCATTCAGATAATCTTGCTGCTGCTGCTGCTGCTGCCTCTGCTACTGTCACGCGCAAATTTTTGTTTTTTTTCTCGACAAAAAAAATCTAATCTCTTCTTGAATTTAACGACGCAAAATAAATGTGAAAATTTCTTTTCCGAAAGAGCTGCTGCTGCTGCTACTGCCACTTCTTCGCTCGCCGAGCCTACAAGAGGTTTCTATACGCGAGCCATGTATAGAATAAAACGCTCCAAATTAAAAGCCTCGCCTCGCGCTGCACAGTAACTGCAATCTCGTCTCTGCACACGTATAATACGTACACACAGCGTCGGAGAAGTAAGAAGAGCAGTTTGGCGAATGCCCTTGAAGTTCTCTCGTCTAGGGTTTATAACGACCCATAGAGAAACTCAACTTGTTCTTGTGCATCTTTCCCTTTCCCCCCGTTTTAGTTAGATATACCGGAGCTTGCACGCCATGAAAGCTCTGTGCACGTATCGCTCAGTCCGTAAAATACTGAGAAGGGAGGCTGAGTTTTTGTGCCCTCGTTCGTTATCTATTTTCCTCTACTACGGCAACTATTATCTCAACGTCTTTTTCTATTTGTTTTTTTTTTTTAAATTTTTAATTGAGAATGTTTCAATGATTGATTATTTCATTACACGAGGAGATTAATTTTTTAAATTATTTTTTTAATTTATTATGTTCAAACGATGCTTCACATGGAATGTTTCGCAGATTACTATTCACAATTTTTTTAGAGTTTTACAGATTAAGTACGTAATTTAACATTAGAATCTTGCTTTACGAAATAAAAAATTACAATTGAAAAATGTGGTAATACAATATGAAAACAGTATGGTTCCATGTTTTTGACGTTAAAAACAAGTTAAATCAAGGGTGATCAAAAAGCTTCACTTCAAGTTCTTGATATGTTAAAAGATCGATTTTTGTAACATAGATACTCTCAGTGGCTTAGTTTACGAAGTTGATTTGGAATTTTACTAAAGTAGAAATACTTTTTAAGGTAGAGTCGGAAGCTGCAATTTTTCATATTAACTAAAAAGTTTGAATGAGAGCTTTTTTCGATACGTCCAGGTCCTTTTCACAAATCGATATCTATATCGATATCGATATCGGTATCTGTTGATAAAATATTCAAGTGTTAATTTTCATTAATGTATATTTTATTTAAATATTTGGTTGAATGACATAATAATTTCAATTTTAAAATAATCTTATGTTCAATATCGAAATTCCTGGCAGTTAAGAGATGTTCAATATTGAAATTCCTGACGTTTAAGAGAAGTTGATTTTAATGAAGTTAAAAGTACGTATCGTAAACTGAAGTCTTTATGTCCTAAAGCCGCTCTTATAAAGCAGCCAGTAAATTATTTTATTAATTGCTTCCATAAAAATTAAATTTATTATTTACCTGGCCATTGTTTTTCAAGCACTTCAACTATTTCTTTATGGGTTGTCTCTTTATTTTCTTTCCGAATTTCAGCTAATATAGTTTTACATGCATCATAAGCTTTAATTATTCGGGGTTGCTCTTCAGTTGAGGTCGTTCTTTCTAGAATACGAACTCCGCCTTCAGTAGTGTAAAGGTGGAAACAAGTACCGATAATATATCTAATCGAATAACTTTTACTTTTGATTTTTAAATTTATTACCGCATGGTGAGTTCGGTTTTTGGACATACTTTTATTAATTGCAATGTGTTCATTTACTGGAACAAATAAAGGCTTGCATTTGTGAGTCATGCTTGGTTCGTACGGCTTATCTGCCATAAGTAAAAATAACTTCCACGCCAGTTCTGCATCATTTTCCCGAACAGAATTCCTTGCAGGCTCACTATGTAACACGGCACTAACTGCAGCTTTTTGTACGATAATCTTTCTGTCATGTAGAGTTCATTTGGAACATCACCTAGAAATGTTAATTCAAAGTTTACCTCCATTTCCACCTCCCGGGTCATTTTCGTAATTCTTGAAATCTCAGGGCTAGTTACTGCATGTGGTGACTTGAATATCTCATTAAATATTTCATTTACTTTTTCAGGATTTGTCAAAAATGGTTTCTTATACTGTCTTCTCACTTCGTAAACTTGATCGATCATTTGTTCAAACAAGGTCGAAGGAGTACTCGCTTCTTCAGACGTCTTCAAAGGTTTTACTTTTACATTTGTCTTCGTTTTAACTCCTTTAGGATAAAAACCTGCCATGATATTGAACTCAATTTCGTACGAATTTTCATTAGAACTTAACTTAATTTTTGTCCCTCTGTCAGCACATGCCGTGCTCTTGAGAACTTTCGATAATTTATCTGTACTTTGTACTGTTTTCCACAATTTAAAACACTGATTCTGGTTATTTAAACAAATCATCAGTTCTTTCAATTTTAAATACAACTCCCATGCCAGGTGCGCTGTGCAACATTCCCACATAGTTTTCATCATTGCGCTCACAACGTGTATAGCTGAATTCGCGGCAAGCTTTTGACATATCTCCTCTTTATCCTTTTCAGGAATTGTTTCGTTTGCGTAGGTATGATCATGATCAGATGTGTGTTTTCCACTTTCATGAGCTAACTGGGTTTTCTCAATTTTGAATACAAAAATTACTTTAATATCTAAACTTGCAGGTTTTGAAGATTCCATTGTGCGTGACTCCATTGCGTCAACTGAAATTCAAACAAATGATATTTAAATTAAATTATTTTTCGTCTCTATTAATCGATTTTTTAAATTTTTGTTACTTACATGTTGATCTCGTAACTCGTCAGTTAAGCAACTGAATTATACTTTAACGTACACATCTAATTTGAAACATCATATTCAAAACAAAATAAATACTATACATGTTTATGATCAATTTGTAAATTCAAATGAAACTAATTTGAGAATAACAAGTCGCTTAGTTAAATATTTAATTGGAGCAGTAGATTCTCTGAAATAATAATTATTATTTTATAATGATGTCAGCGAAAGAGATGAAAAAAACAATTGTTATAATTCTTCATTTTACTAAAAAACATAACTACCCTCGCTCTGTACTGTTATTAGTGTTCTAATTTGAAGTTGCTTTTTATTTTTCAAAATGCTCAAGTCTTTGTAAGTACTCAATTACCAACAAGCGACAGGTTATCTTTCAATACCCTCGAGCAACAGCGTTTAAAGCTGCATTCCGATATTAATTTTTTAAAGGTTCATTCAATGCGATCTATTTCAAATTAATACGAGTAACGATTCTCGCGAATATTTAAAATTTTATGAAATCTGAAACGATGTATAATTATCATACAAATACATCGAATCCAGCGTTTATTATCAAGGACGTTTCGGGCTCTAACGTGCGAATTTTAGAGCGAGTCTGAAAAATTATTTTTAGGACTTGACCGAGGGCATCGAACCTGTACAGTACGTATTTACGAAAGTATATAAATACACTCGCGTGCGGATCGCGTAAGTTCTCAAGGGAGAGTACGAAAATTCGAATTTGTCGCAATAAGAGACGCAGATTCTCAATTAAATTCAACCGAACGCGAGTACGAGCTCTTTTGTTTTTTTGCTCGAGCGCAAAAATGTTCCAGTTTGCCGAACAAAGGGTTATCATGAGGCGGGCGCTGTTACACGGGATTCGAACATAAATACATATACGGGAGTACTCGTAAATTACGCGGCAAAGCAAAGGCAGCAGCAGAAAAAAGTCGCGTTTTTTTTTTTTTTTTTTATTTAAATAAACGAGGCTGACTCCAAACTGGGTTGCACTACTTGTCGAAGGGAGAAAAAGAGAAAATATATAGACCTGTACGTAGCCATGCGCACGCTATATATAAACGTATACTGCAGAAAGGGAGAAAGAGGAAAAAGAACGAGGGAAGCTAGCGGAGCTCTTTTTTCGATTAATCTACGTGAAAGCACTTGGTCTATCTCGCCGTCTTGTGTCGCGACAGGTTTTTTTTTTTCACTGCGCCTTAAGTACAAGTGGCCCGGTTGCACATTGTCACCGAGCAATACCAATACGTACACACATACACACATCCTCGTACTCTCGTGCACATCTAAAATTAAATTGTCCCTTTTGTTTCTCTCCTCTCGGTACGTTATTCAGCAACACGTGCAGCGCTATCACAATCAGAAGATGGGCGCCCTGGAGCCGCACGTGTTCGCCCTGGCCGAGGCGGCCTATCGCTCGCTCATGGACACGGACAGCAATCAGTCGTGCGTGATATCGGGCGAGTCGGGCGCCGGCAAGACCGAGACCACCAAGTTCATACTGCAGTACCTGTGCTCGGTGACGAGCAACGTCGACACCTGGGTCGAGCAGCAGATACTCGAGGCCAACACGATCCTCGAGGCGTTCGGCAACGCCAAGACGCTGCGCAACGACAACAGCTCGCGCTTCGGCAAGTTCATGCAGGTCTGCTTCGACAGCAAGTGGATGATCAAGGGCTGCATCATACAGGACTACCTGCTGGAGCAGAGCAGGATCACGTTTCAGAGTAGCGGCGAGAGGAATTATCACGTGTTCTATCAGCTGGTGGAGGCGGCGAGTCGCGAGAAGGAGCTCGCCGAGCAGTACAAGCTCAAGCCGGCGAGCCACTACAAGTATCTGGCCAAGTCCAACGACGGGCTGGCCGACTTGAAGGGCTTCGACGCGCTCAGGCTCGCCTTCAATGTTCTACAGGTTTGTTATATTACACGGCATTGGTTGCTGTTGCTTTTTTTTTATCGATAACTTTATCGTTTTACGTAAACTCGCACAGGTGCCAGCGGAGATGTGCGACGGCATCTACCGCGTGCTCTCGGCCATCCTCTGGCTGGGCAACCTCCAGTTCCAGGACGTGGACGGCGAGCGCTGCGAGCTGGCGCCCGACGGCGACGCCGAGATCATCGCCACGGTGGCCCCGCTGCTCGGCCTCCAGCCCGACGATCTGCGCCGCATCGTGCTGCAGCGCGAGATCAACGTGCGCGGCAACATCACCGAGATCCCGCTGAGGCTGCAGGAGGCCCGCGAGAATCGCCACGCCATGGCCAAGGCCCTGTACTCGCGCACCTTCGCCTGGCTCATCAATCACATCAATCAGTGCACGAATCCGGGCCAGGACATATCGCGCTTCCTCGGCGTCCTCGACATATTCGGCTTCGAGAACTTCGACACCAACAGCTTCGAGCAGTTGTGCATCAATTACACCAACGAGAAGCTGCACAAGTTCTTCAATCACTACGTGTTCGCCCTGGAGCAGGAGCTCTATCGACAGGAGGAGATACAGTACTCGCACATCACCTTCACGGACAACACCCTCTGTCTGGAGCTGATCGAGAAGCCGCCGCGCTGCGTCCTGAAGCTGCTCACCGAGCAGTGCCACATGCCCAAGGGCTCGGATCTGGCCTACCTCACGAATCTCCACGCCGAGTTCGAGGGCAACGCCTGCTACGTCAAGGGCGACGACCGGCGCAAGTGGGAGAAGGAGTTCGGTCTGCGCCACTACGCCGGTTGCGTCACCTACACGGTCGAGGGCTTCGTCGAGAAGAATCGCGACGTGCAGCAGGACGTGTTCTTCGACTTCATGACGCGCAGCGACAACGAGTTCGTCCAGGAGATCACGGCCTATCAGGATCTGCTCGGCACGACGGTGGCGCGCACCAGCGGCAACAACGCCCCGCCCGCAGCGACGCTGTCGCGCGGCACCTCCAAGGGCAAGCCCACCCTCTGCGACTCGTTTCGGCATCAGTTGCAGGCCCTCGTGGACGTGCTGCAGGGCACGACGCCCTGGTACGCGCGCTGCATCAAGCCCAACATGGACAAGCAGGCCGAGCACTACGACGAGAAGCTGGTGCTGGATCAGCTGCGCTATCTGGGCATGCTCGACATCATCAGGATCAGGAAGGAGGGCTTCCCCATACACATGCGATTCGACGACTTCGTGGCGCGCTATCGCTGCCTCGAGAAGAACAGGTGGTCGCTGCCCAAGGACGACAAGGAGGCGGTCAAGACTCTGATCAAGAATCGACGCTTGCCCACGACCGAGTGGCAGGTGGGCAAGAACAAGGTATTCCTGCGCAAGCTCGTGCACGAGCCGCTTGAGGACGAACGAAATCAGTTGATCACGAGGAACGCCGTATTGATACAGAAGATCTGGCGTGGACACGTGGTCAGAAAAGGTACGATTTCTCTTCTCATTTTTGAAAACTTTTATACGGGAAATTTTTTAATTGCTCACCGATGATCTATCGATAAACTTTGCAGATTACCAACGAACGCACAAAGCGGCGTTGCGCATTCAACACGCTTACCGGGGCTGGAAGCTGCGCATCGAGTTCATACGCAAGCGTCGCGCCGCCGTGGTCATACAGTCGCATCTGCGCGGCGTGTTCGCGCGCGAGGTCGCCTCGGCTCTGCGCGAGCTCAGACGCGTCGAGGAGGAGATGCGTAAGCGCGAGCGACTCGAGGAGGAGCGCAAACGCATGGAGGATCAGAAGGCCCTCGAGGAGTCGCAGAGGTGGGTTGTCTTTTTCCGTACCGCTCTCTCGTATACCGATCGAAATTCGTTACTATCCATTAATCGATTTACCGGAATGTGAATAAATATAAAAAACTTGTTGGAGTAATTTTATGCGCGTCATTTGTAAAGCAAATCATGTGATTTTTATAGCACGCAATACAATGGTATCGCTGGAATGGAAGCTGGGTAAGTTAATAAATACGAGCTGCTGCGAGTAAAAAAAAAACAAAGGAATATGAATTTTTTTTATTAGTCACCAACACTTAGCTCGAAGCATGTTTTTGGTTGCGTTACATATATATTTGACCCTACCAAAACACGTATCTCTGATTAGAACAGTACCTACTGTAAAAGCGTGATTATACTAACATCTTTAAATTTATGTTCGTTTTTTTTCTTGTCTCGTGTTCTTTTTGACTACTAACAAAGTAATTCGAAATTTTTTTTCAATTTTGAGTAGTGATAAAAGTGTTTCTTCACACATCACTTTTATTTAAAGAAATAGGCTTTTGTGTTGATTCTTCTCATCACACTGAAACAACGACAGCGACACTGAACTATTATACACGACACGTAGAAGAACAGAGTATAATTCTTCGATTCCAATGAGGATGATCACTATTTCGTTAATTTTCAGTGCACATTGTTTTGTTCAAAGAATTATTTTTTTCCATTCAAAATCTAACAAGATCTTTTGTTTTCTTGCTTTTATAGACGAGCCGAAGAAGAGATTAAAGCGCTCACTCAAATGGCCGAACAATTCAACTCCGCGATGGCTAATAACAATAACAACAACAAAAACGCCAGCAACAATAACAAAGAATCCGTCGACCTGGACAATTTGTTCTCGTTCTTGTCCGATGTTCAGAAGCAGAACAATGAGATCAACATCAACGGCAACAACAACGGCAGTCAGAGGAGCAGCGGTACCAATGCCATAATAGAAGAGATCGGCTTGGAAATGGATCAGTTGGCCGAAAATCTGGAGGCGGAGCTGCAATCCGTCAAGCAGGACAAGGAACCGCGCCCGGTCAAGCTTCAGAGTCCGAAACCCATCGAAGAGCCCAAAATCAAGGAAGAAATCAAGCAAGCGATAATCATGAAGAACACGCCGAGTCTGCCCGAGCCGACACAGCCGCCTCCACCGCCGCCGCCACCGCCACCGGCATCGTTCAACATCAATGGTCTTCCGCCTGCTCCGCTACCCGTCCCCGTCGTCAACAAGCCATTGGAGAAGAAAAAGGAGCCGATTTACGAAAAAGTCAAAACGAGAGAGGAGATAAGTCCTCAGGTGACTCATCCACCACCGCCACCGATGATGAATGGCGGATCTACGGCAAAAGTCAACGGATTACATCCAAAACTTAACGGCGAGGCAAAAGAGCACGTACCGGCTCCACCGATGCAATCGACCCTCAAGATCGTTCACGAAATACGCAAAGAAGTTCCGGAGGCGAAGAAAGTCGCTCCGCAGCACGCCACGCAAAACGAAACAACACCCAAACCACCAATACCCAACAATCATCACGTGTCGAACCAAAACCACGTGCAACAGAATCATCATCCACCCATTGCCGTCGCGCAGAATACGAAATTGACTACGCTCGCTCCGAACAACGTGCACCAGAAGCAAACCGTCGTCAACGGTCACAGTCACAACAATAACAACAACAACCACCACCAAAATTTCGGAGTCGTGCAAAACGGACACTCGCCGCAATTGCAAGCTCACCAACAGCATCACACTCCGACCAAGACTGCCTCGCCGTCTCACCTACATCATCAGCAACAGCAGCAGCATCAGCAACAACAACACACGCCGCAACATACGCCGACAAAGACTGCCTCTCCGTCGCACCAACAGTTGCAGCAGCAGCAGAAACAGCTGCAGGCACAGCAGAAGCAGCTGCAGCTTCAGCAGCAACAGGCCAAAGCACTGCAACAGAAGCAGCTTCAGCTGCAGCAGCAACAGCAGCAGAAAGCCGCTCAGCAGCAGCAACAAGCGAAGCAGTTGCAGCAGCAGCAGCTGTTACAGCAGAAATTGCAGCAGGCCCAGCAGGAGATACAGTCCCATCCACCGGCGGAGCGCGAGGCGCGGCGCAAGCATCGGGTCGAACGTAAGCTCCAAGAGCTCGAGGAGAAAAAGCTCGAGACGGTGCCGGAGACGAATGAGAATTACCACGACATCGTCGAGTTCGCCCAGAACTACTTCAACAGTCACGAGCGATCGCCCGAGGGCACGATCATGGCCACGCTCACTCGTGGTAAGCAGCGAGAAAAGCGAATCGAGTACGTACCCAAGTACGAGATGGTCACCTACTACAAGGGCTCGTCCATTCCGAATTCCCACATACACATGTACGACCCGGAGAACGTCAACGTTGCTTGCAACGTCTTCCGAGATCTCTGCAAGTACCTGCGCGGCGAGATGAAGCTCGAGCAGGAGATAAGCACGATCCAGGGCATAATCGGCTACGGCATCGAGCGCGAGGAGTTGCGCGACGAGATCTTCGTCCAGTGCATGCGCCAGTCCACGAACAATCCGAATCTCGAGTGGGCCGAGCGCATCTGGCTGCTCCTCTGTCTGGCCATCGTCGCCTTCCAGCCGAGCAAACTGCTCTACCGTTACTTCCTCTCGTTCCTGAAGAAGAACCTTCAGCTCGAGGGCAAACTGCGCCAGTACGTGCAGTGGTGCATCGACAATTGCAAAAATACCAAAGTCTCGTGCCGTCAGTATCCGCCGTCGAGCGTCGAAATAGCCGCGATGCGTCGGCTCGGCACGATAGTCTGCCGATTCTTCTTCCTGGACGGAAGAACCAAAGCCATAGACGTGCATCCGACCGATACGGCGGCCGATGCCGCGGCGAAATTGGCCGAAAAGTTGGGATTACGCTCGTTGGAGGGCTGGGCCATCTACCAGAGCAGACCCGATGGCGAGGAGCACGTCAGAGCTCATGATTATCTTTACGATGTCATTGCCGCTTGGGAAATGAAACAATGTAAATTAAACACGAACACGTTGCAGCGTCGTAACAATCAAAGTTTGGGAAGCGGTGACAATCGATTTATCTTCAAAAAGAGACTATTCAAAAATACCAAAGAACTATCGCAAGATCCCGTGGAAGTCAACATGCTCTATGCGCAGGCTGTCTATTGTGTCGTTAAGGTACATTTATTTCCTTTATTTAAAATAAATTAGATTCATGCATTTTCAATAAAACTTTTTGCTCTTTTATTTGCAGTGCGACGACTTTCCTGTATCTGAAAAAGTAGCCCTCCAGTTGGCTGGTTTGCAGGCCCAAGTGATGTTGGGCGATCCGAAGGATAACGACCGACTGGATTACTACAGCGAGATCGAAACGTTTTTACCTTATCGCATCAGTCGAGCTCGCGGCGATGACGTCTGGGTACCGATACTCGCCCAGGCCCATCGCCAGAACGGCGCAGGGCGCTCCGAATTGGCCAGCAAGGTGCTTTATCTATCGTGCGTCATGCAGTATCCGCTTTACGGCACGACCATGTTCAACGTCACGTACCGCGGCTACTGGTCCTACGGCAATCAACTGATCCTCGGAGTGAATTGCGAGGGTCTCATGCTTATCAAGCCCGACGACAAGTTCGTGCTGTCGGAGTATCGCTACCAGGACGTAGAGAGCATCATGCTCGACCCAAGCGACTCGTTCATCACTATATCTCTGCTGAGACACGCACCCGACAGTCCGCACAAGTGTTTCGTCTTCGAGACGCCGCAGAAAAACGAGATCGGCAGCTTGATCGTCAGCTACTATCCACCGCTGGCCGGCTGGATCACCGAGAACGAGGTGCCGGCCAAAAGGCTCAAAGGAATCACGACCGAGGATCGCGTGAGGCTGCATCACAATCTCGTCAACTGCCGCCGGACTTTGGTCGACTCGGAGGCTCTGAAGAAGCCCCAGGACGCCGGAGCCGGTTTCTTCCGCAATACCTTGAGACGACTGTCAAAGAGCAGGATCGAAAAGCTGCGACAGGAGCACGGCGGATCGCTGACGGATCAGGGCGAGACGTACAAAGGCTTCCACTACGGCTACTGGGCCTTCAGTCGCACACCACTGGCGCAGAGTCTGATGAAGCTCAACGACGCCGAGGAGCAAATAGCCCTGAACATCTTCCAACTGATACTCACTTACGCTGGACTGGGTCAGAACGGCGATCAGGTCAGACGAGCCGAGGACGAGCATGTGAATCTCATTCAAACGATGATGGATCGATGCATGCGCAAAGACACGCTACTAGGTGAAATGTTCTTGCAACTGATCAAACAGACCACGGACCATCCCGATCCGAACAGCCGAGTAAACTTGCGACATTGGGCTCTGCTATCTTTGGGTAAGTTATATAATAAATACTAGAAAAAAATGATTCAAAAAAAGCAACGACTTTAGAATAAAAAAATGTTATTCTTCGCCTTCAGCTTGCTCGGTCATTCTACCGCCACAGAAGATAATCCGCAAGTATCTGATATGGCATCTGAAGCGTTGCGCCAGCGACTACGTGACGGAGGAGGGCAAATACGCGCGCTTCGCCGAGAAGTGCTTGAACAAGACTACAGGCACCATAAGGCGGCAATTGGCGCCCAGTCGCGAGGAGATCATGTGCACGATCAATCGGCGACCGCTCTACACGAGATTCCACTTTATGGACGGGCAGTATCACTCGGTCGAGTTTCATCCGTCCGCGACGGCCAGAGACGTGCTGGAACTGATCAAAGCCAAAGTTGGCCTCGGCGAGAGCGCCATGGGTATGTCCAAAGTGCAATTATAAACGAGATACGTTCAAGTTGAATTTCCACGTATTGATCTATTTCCGTCTTTGTCTGTAGGTTACGCGATTTACGAAGTCGTTGGCTCGTCCGATAGAGCTTTATTACCAGTTGAAAAAATTGCCGAAGTCATGTCCAAATGGGAAAAATATCGCACCGCAACGACGGGTAATGGAACAAACACGCAGCAACGCAAACACGCACACTACTTCTTTTTATTCAAGAAACATTTGTTCCTCGATCAATACATGAATCTCGACGATCCGGTCGAGAAAGAACTGCTGTATCATCAAGTTTTGCACGATCTGCGAGCTGATCGTTTCCCCATCACGGATAAAGAAGCGGTAAGTACTTGTCTCGGTGTAAATATTTGTTTGGAATTTATTTTTAAAAATTACTTCTCTAATTAAATATTTATTTCGCAGTTAATGTTGTCGGCCTTGCAAGCTCAATTGGAACTCGGCGACTGCGAAGATCACCTGACGGTACAAGAATACCAGACGATAGCGGGTCACTGCTTACCGGCGCGCATGGTTCCGAATCTCTGCCTCGACGGAGTAGTGCAACATCATCAGTCCTGTCGCGGCATGACCGCCCCGGAGACGAAGAAAGCCTTCCTCAATCTCATACAGTCGTGGCCTCTGCACAAAGCCACCATATTCGACGTCATGCAGTCGTTCACGTCAAACTGGCCGCGCATGCTTTGGCTGGCCGTCGATCAAAAAGGTCTACATTTGCTCGAGCATCGATCGAGAAATGCACTTTGTACTTTTGAATACTCAAGTATACTTAGCTACAGTCCTGCCACTAATTGTCTGATGATAATAACCGGTACCGATAAGAAACAGAGCAAAGTCATTCTAGCCACTTCACAGGTAAAGCATTTGAAAGGAAAAAGTCATTGTACAAGTTGTGAACTCGAACTTGACATATCGCATTTATTTTTAGGCATACCAAATAGCCAACCTCATACGGGAATACATGGAGGTGCTTCAACTGCCATTAGAAATACGTAAACAGGACCCAACGCTCATACAGCAAATGCAACAGATGCACCATTTGCAACAGCAGCAGTCGATGAATGGAACAATTAGAAAGGCCAAGGTACCCTCGGCACTTCACAGAGGCGCACCCGTCATTCATTCGCAGGCCTGCTAAACTTCATTATAATACTGCAATTGATATTATTTTCTTAACTTTAAAAACGTTCCAACGTCCAGGCGCATTTAGAATTCGATTACATTCGCACGTTGAAGACGTTGTCGGAGCGAAACAAATTGAAAACATATAGGTTTTTTGAATATATCTTTCGAATTCATATGTATATTTAAAAATTTAACATATATATGATTGAACTTATATCTAGATTGTAAGTTTTCGTGGGGTTGTAAAAGATGAAAAAAAGAAAAGTTGTATATTTGAGGATTCAAATGAAAGTTTGAAAATATCGATTGTAAATGATTTTTGTAATGCAATGTTTTACTTTGTACATGCTATCGTAGTAAGGGTTTTTTTAGTTAGATATATTTGAATTGTTGAATGTGATTAATTTTATATTTTTTTTACTTTAAAAAAATGAGAAAAGTATAAGTAACTTATATTATTTTATTGGTCTAACGCTGATGTGTATGATGTATAGCTTGTTGATGGTTGTTTGCAGAAATAACAACATTATTAAAAAGTTTAGATAGAAAAAATAATTATTGAAATTACTGTAAACGTATAGCTTGTTCATCGCTGGCTAAGTATAATAGTGTCTGTTTCCGAATAGTGGAGATTTCATCGTAAGTAGATATAATCATCTGACGAAACAATGATTTACAACACTGCCACGTAACATTTTTTAATTAAAACTTTCCGACTAACTGTCGATGAACAGTTTGGTTTTCAATAGCAAGAACAAAAATATCGTAAACGGCGTTTGTCATTGATTTATATAGGTATAAGGAGGAACTTTTTTGTATCGTTATACACCTTACTTTATACACACACAATACTCCGTAACAATCGTTGCCTTTTTTATATAATTATACGATATTATATAAACAATATATATTGTCGTTTTTTAAAAAAATTTCATAGTTGAAAAAAAATCGAAAACATAATTTACCTGACGATGATTGTAGGAAAAGCTGATGATATCAGTTGTATAAAAATTTACAGTGTCATTTAAATGTGTAACATATAGTATGTGACGCGTGATTATAATAATTACATAATTGCGATGTAACAAAATAATGCATTAATGTTTTGAATATTTGTCTTGAACTAAAAATAGATTTAATTATTATGTCAAATAAGTTGTTTGAGAAAAGACACTAACTTTTGTTATTATTTTCATTTTTATACTTATATCTCGAAAAAAATAAAGTTTTTCATTTTTATTTTAAAGATTAGAACTTGTATGAAAAATACTCGAGCTGTCCGATAAAATCATCTAATAAATAAGCTACCGCCACGAAGATTCTAATTAGCCATGTGCAAGTTCTGAAGTGCTTTTTTTTAAGATTCATCATTATTTGGCTTGATAATGTGAGTTTATAAGACGTTTTTTATAGAGTTTTACAAGGTTTTTATGCATCATTTTCAAAATATTCACTTTTCATTCTCATTTTTCATAACTCTTTGCATTAATCAATGATATGTAAAGTTCATTCATTTTCTCAAACGTTACAAGCAGATTGATATTAACGATGATGGAAAAAAATTGTTGATTTATGTAATATTGAATAAGTTATTTCTAAACTTTACAATTTTTCTAAATTTTTAAATAAGAGATATGCAGATAGTAACTACTAATCATGCACAATTATTGAAACATAGTTTCGTAAATAGTGTTGTTATAATATTAATAATGTATCGTGAATTTTCAAAATGTTTAAGCTTTTGTAAAAAAAATAACAGCTCTCTTGAAATGATCACCGATAAATTTTGATTATTATTGAATGATTGTATTGTATATAAACAAAAGTATATTCCAGTTATGTATAACATTTTTCTCGATTCATTTAGACACCGGACAAATATTTACTTTGATACAGTTAAAATTTGTATTAATTAAATTTTCAAATGTATTGAATTTTATGAGAGCATTTAATTCAACTGATCTCAATAAGTAGATTATAATTAAATGTAGCGAACAACAACAATCAAGATTGGCTCAAAAACTTTTACTGTTAAATAAGTTTTTACTTTTGGAATTTTATATGGAACCGATAATCTCTGAGACTTGATTTCCATTTTATCTCCTTTGAGATATTTTGCATGGAATAAACTCCAAAGTTTTTTTATACTTTTTGACACACAAACAAAAATATAATCGTTTAAACTTTCTCATTAGCTTATATGATATTATCTTGTTGTCAGTGTGTAAATAAAAATATTAAAAAATAAAATTGACGCGGTGATAATAGTTCCGTACAGGTAGCCAAATCTTAGAAACGAACTCATCAGACCAAAGCTTTGTTCGTTAAAAGCCATGATGAAAAAAACCAGATACATGCATGAGCGCAAATATTATAGAATACAAATCTCTAACATATAGCTGTAAACATTTAACATGTATAATGCGCGACGTTGTTTATTATTTTTCCAAAGCAAAAATAGGAACACAGGCGTTTAAATCAATTTTAACAATATATAAGAAGCAAGCCGAGCTGTGATCCGTATGAAAAAAAATGTCTTCGAAAAGATATATTGATGTCGCGTAAGAGAGGAAGAAAGAGAAAAGAGTGAGAAATGCTTAAAGTGGTGCAAATTATATTATTATAAAAGATACATTAATTGATAATATATTAAAAAGCTATCGCTGAAAAAGTGTATATCGAGTGAAATATTAAATTTAAAAAAAAACGCGTGTGCCTGATGAATAATGTAATTGCAATATGTGAAGCATGAATCTAAACGTGTTTGGGAATGCTTAAACAAAGAAAAGTCGTGTTCGTTCATCTTCGCGTTTATTTATATTGCTTTTGTGTATATATGGATATTGCGTTATGTATAGGAAAAAGAATAAAATGTAAAATTCAGTCATTTAACGAGTGGTAAATTGTCGACGCGCACAACGGGATACGTAACAAAAAAAAAATTAAAAAACGTCTGCACGAAATTGTGCAAGAGACGAAACGCAACATTATAAAAAATGTATCATTAAATCATGAATCTGTATCGAAAACTACAATAAAGTCGCATCTTATATTACGAAAACATTTCATTCCTTGTCTTCAACCTTAAAAAAATTTCAAAACCAGGTAGCTGAGGTATAATAATAATAATTCATAGGATTTACGTATAATTTTTTTTATTTTTAATAGTTTTTCTTTTATTTTCTTTACACGATGATCAGACAAGTACAACAGTGCTTTTTTTCTTTCATTTGTTATGCCGGGGCTACGGAAATTCCATATGTGCAAGAACATCGCAACCCTTGTCACGGCCGTTTTGCATTATCAATAAACCCATTTTTGTTTGTTATAAGGTACGACATCGAATTGCGACAATAACATATATGTATACATCATCATAAAATATTCATACAGTAAAATTCACTTTCACTCTTGATTAAAAAGTTTACACTCACGCGCATACATCCTAATTGAAATTTCTTTGGAACTGAATTTTTACAGAAAAAAATTGCTAATGTGTCAAAGCCATTGAAATCTTATGAAATAGAAAAGTGAAGTAGTATCTTTTTTAAAAAGGCTTATGCACCAAATTATAAAAATTCAACGATTAGATCTATGAATGCGATTCATGAGTACTTGGAAACGTGAATGCAAAACCGGTGGCATATTTTTCATTAATAATTCCACACTGTTGCGTTTCGATATCAGCATGATCGAAAAACATCGTTCCAATCTACATTATATGAAAATTTGAGATGACATTCGTTCCAAAAAAATTTCAGTTTCGGAGGAATTCAGAATCAGTTTAATTATAATACATACTCTCGAGAAAAAGTATTCTTTTTGTTTGTATAGATACTGCGGAAGATAATAAATTTACGACACCTTCATTATTAAAAACAATTCAACAGAAGAGTAAAAAATCATCGAAACGCACGTTTAAGTAGGTACAATCGTTACTTCATCGGTAAGCATTATGTACTTATTAATGATAATTTATGCACCATAATTAATCAGTAATGCTTGTGTTTTATCATATATGTATAAGGGCCGAGACACGGGTGAGACTTGATTCTTTGGCTTTGTTACAATTTTTTGACTTATATTATTATATAAACCGGCGCACACATATCATTGCAGTATATTATATCATGTTTTTTGGTATTTAATGCGTAATAGGTACTTTATTTTTAATTATTTGTTTTTTTTTCAAATTATGCGTAATTTATTTAATTTTCTATCTATTTTATTTATTTATTAATGTATTATGACTTGTCTACGGTCCCGTGGAGCACGGCTTTTATCGTGTATAGAACTGCGTTCTTATTTATTTTTATTTCAGCAATCGTTTTCGATATCTATTACATAATTTGTTTTTTTGTTTTTTTTTTAAATATTTATTATTCGCATCATTGACAACCATTTTTTTCGCGATTAACGTAATTCATCATGACACTCAATTCCAAATTATGAGTTCAAGATTTTGCATTCTTGGTACATATTTTCAAGTGTCACTTCATTTTCATGCAAATCACTTTTATCGTAATAATTAAAGGTACGCAATGTATAGATATATTTCTCTTGTGCGACAAACCACCAAAGAAGTCAGCACGCAACTTTTTATAGTGACTGAATTGTTTTGTGTGTGATTTGAGCGAGCGAAGACGTGCGACTCGTTTGGAAATTTATCGGGGTTATAATATAATTTAAATTTTATTCTGTTTTGTTGCGGGTTATTCGTGTATCACATTTTCGTTTACTTTTTCTAAACTCTGGGGTTTCATTTGGTTTTTTTTCGTACTATTCACTGCTTTTTTATTTTGTAGATTTTACTGAAATTGTCTGTCCGTTATTTTGTTGTAATACCTGTACGAAGCAGCATCTTTTAATTTTTTTTTTGAATTTTGTTTGATTAAAAACAAAATACATGAATGAGATATCAATTTATAACAATACTTGAAAATAAAACAATTCAGTCGTCGTATATTTAACTAGTTTGAATATAGTGTCCTTATAAATACTTCGTGAAAAATAAAACGTGATTCTTTAATATTATAGCTGGTCATTCTAATCAATAATTTTTTAATCTTAGCTTATAGCACGTTACATAGAAGGCAATGCATTTTGAGACACGCAAAGAAGAAGCATTACGTTACAAATTTTTTTTTCATGCAAATCTAAAATAGTAAATTCGATGGATATCAAAGTATACTATAATACATTATGATTAGCATACCATATTTCAAAATTCGATGTTGCTTCGTACAGTTTTTATCTTATATTAAGTCTAGAAAAACTGCAATAAAGGTGTAAACAAATAGTATTATAAAATGCTAAAAGAAAAATGCAAACGACAATTTGTGCTTGAATCGTATGCAGACGTTGAGAGTTGAATCAATAACAATTCACAATTTGACAGTATCTATACAATATGTCGCGTAGCTAAATTCCATGCCTCGAATACGCTGTGAGGCTCGATTTGGGCAATAAGCACTCAAAATACACCTTTCACAATAAATATTTAAAATTTTTAAACGTAGTATATAAATTCAATATTACGAATGGCAATACGCCTGCGATAAACAAAAAACAAAGACAGACATCAACAACAATTTATATATCTATATATTTATAGTATAATAAGCGCAATCAAACATACATATAATATATTTTTTCTAAAACAACGTCGCTAAAACGTTGCTTGTATATAATTATATACATTATATACAACGTTTCTTTGTATATAATTAATAGCACACACAATTATTATTTGACGTTCGTTTCGTCTATTCAATTATTTTTAAAGCATACTTAAACTTATAAACTAGATTAGAATTGCACATTCAACGACGACGAGATTACGACATCGAGTTTTATTATTAAAGTTTTATAGGTACGAGAAATTGCGCATTATGTCAGTTTTTTTATATTTTGCCCAGGATGTGATGAACGAAGCAGTTGATAATTTATAATTTTTGTTCGATAATGATGGTTACGCGAGCATGCGGGAGCGAGGAGGAAAATTCATCAGACCCGTTTTTTTAAAAATTACATACTAAGTTCGAGATCAGTTAATGTAAAGTAAAATGAAAAAAAATTTACAAACTAGTATCACTAATAAAAACTTAACGAAATTAAATATACATTTCTTCTTAAGTGCAATTCTTGTGCGGCTCAACTTGTTAATCGCTCTAACTTATAAACTAATAAAACACTAAAAAAAAGACTCAACAATTTTGTGCGTTTCGTATCATGTTCAAAAACTATACTTTTTAAAAACGTAGAAAAAATAAATATTCAATAAAATAACAAAATAACTCAACAATGTGCACGCTTTCGCTTATTCTTAAATTTAGATAAGTAAGAGTATTTTCCTTCAAGCTCCTCCAGCATCCAAATTATAAGCAGGTTAGTAATTCTTCTTCGTGTAAATATTTTAGATTTGATTTTTTTTCATTAAAATTTTTTCAATCATCTTTAATTTTATGTGAGATTTAGCAGCGCATTTTTCATAATTGTAATTTAAGTACAGTAATAATCACTCTCTGATATAATGTATATATTTTTCTTCCTGTATCTCAAAATGATATTTTTTTCACTTGAAAAAGTGGCAACGTTGAAATACAGGTAATATTTATTACGCGTTTAATTTTCACATAATCTTAATAACATTCATGCGTATTCTTTTTGTTATAGGAGCGAATTCGCGTAATTTTGTAAGATTTTTTTCTGTTTTGTTTTGTTTTTATAACAATTTTTTCCTCTTTTATTATCATGTACACCGAAAAACTATGCGACATACCGAACCGAGGAGTTTTGATTTTTTTTATTATGCATCGGCGTCGCTCCTAGTACAAAAATGGTTTAATAGAACCATAGAGCAAAGCAAAGCATATATCGACACGCCTCACTTTTGTTTCATTATTTTTTTTGTATTTATTCATAAAAAAGGGAAATAGGTACGTTCCGCGTTTATAATATATATATATTAATTTGTCGTTTCCGCTCGCGGAGACACTCAATAAGAATATCAAAATCAATTTGAATTGATTTTTTTATTTTCCTCTAAAGATTTTGTATAGAAACTTTCAACCGTGCGCCACTTCGACGAATACGAGTTTTCTACAAAAAATCTTTATAGAAACGTGTACAAAGCTATGCACCTCGGAATTTTTCTTCAATTTCAATTGCAGATGTGATTCGCTCTAATGTGCTCCATCAGACTCGAGATTTGCCAGATGGACGATTAGGAAGTGAATTGTTTGTATATAAGTGTCCAATACTTGCTTGCTTTTTTTATATTTGTTTTTTCTTTAAACTAGAGACAACACCTATGTGTAGGTATTTTGGAAGGTGTATGATTTTTCTTCTCGCTAATTCCATTTAATTTTTCCTTTGCTTTACCAATCAACAATTATAAACAATTATTACTTATACTTTGTTTTTTTAGATGTATGTTAAATATTTACTTTTCAGATCGTTTCTGACTATTTTTTGTTTGTAAGCGCATGCTAAAATAAGTTGAACAATGATTATATACTTTATATATTTTGCAGTGAGCAAGATACTTATAATAATTATATTCTTCTCAACGGACCACCTGTGGCCTGTCGTTTTATTATAATTTTTTGACATTTAATTAATTTATATACGCGCAATGACAGCATCCATGTCTAAATGTCTGTGATTTATTATTTTTATTAATTAATTCTTATCAAATAGTCACTCGATCTCTAACAGTTGAAATCAGAGCGGCAGATTGGCTCGCGCGTTTACAACTTATATAATAAAAAAAACCAGTTCGACAGTTACTTTCAAATAAAAATTCATTTCAGCACCATCAACAATATAATCGACATAGCATGGATACATTCTCACTCTCTCTCTCTCTAATATCTTTTCCGCGTCATTCTTTCAAATTGTTTATACAACATTTATCGTGAAAATATATTTGTTACAAGGTCAATATTTGTTTAGTCTTTTTTTTAAAGAAAAGAGATAAAAAAATAAAATTCGGGTCTCTGCTCTTTGGTCAAAGTATACACATAAGAGACTCGGTTGGATGGACGCATATGATACGTATTGTGTATGTATATATTTATATATATTCTATATGAATGTGTGCACGTGAACTTGTGGATAAAAAAAGTAGAGCGAGAAAAACCGATGCCCGCGCGCTATCTCTCCCGTATACAGTCATCGATGAACCGTGATACGATTGAGCATACAAGCCTCTCTCACGAAGATCATATACACGCGCGAGCGATGTATAAATGTGTGAATGTATTTGTATGTATGTGTTTTCTCACTTTGATTTTTTTTTTCGTGTTATTACTTCTTTTTTTCGTTTTTATCTTTACGAGTGACGAATCTACGCCACACAATTGGCTATTTTAGTAACAATAATATATAATATATATATTACTACTTCATAAATCTTTAGGAAAACAGAAATAATATGTATATAATATATTTTATTTTATGTGTAGCGTACGGATGTTAATCACGGATGTTGTTTCGTCGTAGTCGCGCATACGGAACGAACGACTTTCGCACACCACTGGCTAGTTTTGATCTTAAAAGTGAAAATCACTTTAACGTACGAGTTTATATTTGTTCATTCGTTTTGACTAGAGTTCAAAAAGTGCATGTGCACGAACGCGGGGGCTAATTCGTTTTTCTTTTGAAGGAAAATTTACTCTCACTCCTGTTGTCATTGTGCAGTAAATAATCTTAAAGCGATTTGGGGGCTATTGCACTCGCTTTACGAGCAACAAATTCCCGAGGGGCAGTCGGGCTAAGCTTGCTCGAGCTTAGAGGATGCTGTCGCTCACCTCTTGCACGGGTGATTCATTAAGCGCGATTGTAGCGAGATACAATCGCTTCTGTTTTTTTCCTCACTTTCTCGCTGTTGTAGATTTAATGTACGATAGCTCGAGTCGAAATTGATCGTTGACCATCTTCTTAGCTTTACTCATTTACTGGGGAACGAATCTGCTAGGGTTGAATTCTTTGTTCGTGAAAGAGAAACCGCTGAATTCCTCTTGATTTATATTGTCTCCGTTGAGCGGAGTGAGAACTGGCTCTTCTTTTGTAAATTCAGCGTCAAAGTTTCCAGCATCTTTCTTATTTTTCTGCAAAAAAAATTACACAGTTAATACAGTGCGACAATTAGAAAAAAAAATTGTAAAAGACATGAAAATTTACAATCTTTGGTTTGAACGGAGGTACGATTTTGCGCGCTTCGAGCGCCTCCCAATCCATGTGCTGGAAGAAAGCGTGGCTTCTGATGGCCGCTTCGCCGCCGTTGTCCGCGACGCATCCGAGCCGCCTGGCTGGATTTTTGGTCATAAAGCCCTTGAGTATCGAGACGGCCTCGTCGCTCAGCCAAACGGGATACAGCACGTCGTCGTGCAAAATCGACTCGAAAAGATCCTCCTCGTTGTCGGCTTCGAAAGGCGGTTGACCGACCATCATCTCGTACATGAGTACACCCAAGGCCCACCAGTCGACGCTGGCGCCATACTTGAGCTCCTGCAGTATCTCCGGGGCTATGTAATCCGGAGTGCCGCAGAAGGTTTCGGTGAGGGCTCCGTCGAGTATTCCCTCCTTGCACATGCCGAAGTCGGCGAGCTTGCAGTGGCCCTCGGCGTCGAGCAGTATATTGTCGAGCTTCAAGTCACGGTAGATGACACCGTGCTTGTGGAGAAATTGTAAAGCTAGTGTCACTTCGGCAGCATAGAAACGGGCTCGGGCCTCCTCGAACTTGCAAGCCTTCTGAATTTGAAACATCAGATCGCCGCCGATCACGTACTCCGTGACGAAGAACAGTCGGTCTTTGGTCTGGAAGCAGCTGTGTAGGGCCGCGAGGAAAGGATGTTTGGCAGCGAGGGCTAATATTCGCTTCTCCGTCATCGCGCAGTCGACGTCGTCCTCCTGGATGATGACGTCCTTCTTCAGGACTTTGATGGCGTACACCTCCTCCGGGTGGCCTCGTCGCTCGGCCAGCATGACTTTACCGAAGCTGCCCTTGCCCAGGACCTTGATGAAGTTGAAATCGTTCAAGGTCATCTTGACCATGCCATCGTCCTGCCTACTCGAGGCGTCGCCACCCTTCGAGTGAGGCGATTCTCCCGCCTGGGTCAGTTGCGACGCGTTCGAGTCTTGGCCAACCGACGACGTGGAAAAGTCGCTGTTGGTACTGTTGGACGACGTCGAAGGCTTGTAATTGATTCGTGGCTTGCTCGCTTTGTCCGGCGAGATTCCGATTCTGCTCAGAGCTTCGGCCATGGCTTTCATGTTGATACCGCAATTGTTGGCCACATTCTTTTGGCAGCGTTTGTGTACGTTCATGTCGCAAACTGTAAACGAAAAAGAAGTTTGTTAGTATCGAACTTTGTCCAAGTGCGTGACTGCCGGTTCCAAGTTTCACTAGCAAGAGACAGCACGATTTCTAATGCTATCTTTTAGATATGATTCGGGAAATTTTTTCCCAAATGAACATTTAATAGTCGAAATTTCATATATATAGATTTCAGAAAAGTGGTAAGACTAATGTTTTTTTTTCTCAAAAATTTTTTAGTTGAATCAAATGTCTCAGAAGAAACGAGTTAAATTACATATTTACCCTCGCATTGTAGGCCCTGGCGTATGAATCCGTACAGAAGCGACCCGCAATGATCGCAAAAAGTAAATCTTTTGTAATTGTGCAGTACAAATCGGTGCGGCACGTCGATGTTGAATCGCGGCCCCTGCAGTCCCTCAATGAATCCTGATGTTCTCGCTTCTTCGCGCATTCCCGGGCATTTTGTGACGACTTGCTCGTGACACCTCTTGTGCACGACGCATGTGCATACTGGAAAATTAATTGCATATTATAGCTCGGGGGGTTAGGCTGAATTATGAAAATTGCAACGGTACACTTAACGATTATAAGAATGAACGTGATAAGTTAATCTGAAATGAATAACAGACGTTTTTTTTTGATACACCGAGAAAATGAAGATTGACAAGGTATACAGAGAGGCATAACCATTTCAAACTCGTTGTTTTTCAAAACATATACTGAATAATTTACTTCCTAGACGTCTGCATAGCAATTTTTAAAAATTTTTGAAGATAAAATTTAAATGTATATCTTGACTTAGACGTATCTGTAGATTTTGACAGAACTGCCAGTCATTTTTGAGTTTTGTTATTCTCAATGTATAACTTATTAATTATTTCGTTTTTCCTTGATAAAAAAAGCCTGGGCTAAAGATTAATAGTAAAATCTATACGAGTTATTCTGTAGATGAAAACTTTATTAAAAAATTCTTAAGATACCGAGAGTAAAATAATCAAACTTAAACTTATTGTACGTGTGTATTTTACAATTGTGTAATCAGGATGTAATCAGCAGCCGATAGTTAATGTTTTTTCTTTAACATGGACAATTGTGGATGTAAATGAGTGAAGCAAATTCGAACCCATGACCATATGATATACAAGAACCAAATTAACACATACATGGAGAAGAAATACAACACTAATAAGCATGATAGTTTAGCATTACAGTGACTCGTGGCTATTCTCACCTTGACACTGATAGCCCTGCTTTCCCAAGCCCCTGTAAATATAACATATTTGAAAAAAACAACCCTTCATTTTTTTGCGGTAACATCGTTTTTTTTTTTTATTCAATGAAACAAAACAAAAATGTTTCAAACTAATGTGTTTCTTTCCTTTGCTTTGCACGTACATTTATATAGAGGTATACATATTCAAGTTACACAGCGCATGTACTTTGTGGCCTGCGATTTGTTTCAATGATTGTACAAGCTTGAGCCTCGATAAGTGTGCGCGTTTATTTTTTCAGTGGCCCCTTCTGCTTTACGTTGCCTAATTAAAACCCCGATTCTCAGCGCTCGACCGGCTCGCTTGATTTATTTTACGTGATACAGCTTGGAAAGCTTATTATTTTTTTCGCCTAGATGTTAAAATATTGATTTTCACCGGGGATAGAAAGGCAGAGAGAGACGAGTTAGACATTTTTATTTCTTTTCTATCGCTACGAGCGTTATTAAAAAGATAGAGCGACTGTATCGATGCCCCGGACACTCGAGAGATGATGATTAAATAAACGATCATTTTTTCGCATAATAAGGTTGAAGGAAAATTTGAAAATTTAATCATCAAGTTTGGATGCATTCAGTGCCATCCACTATCATTTTGCGCGAAAAATCATTTTTACGATAATAAAGTACACTCTCTAGATGGTAATTAGCTCAACTACATTGATTCAATAATTTTAAAACAAACACGATCGCTTATATGACATCGATAAAAGTGGCTGAGTATTGGAACGCAGCCGGGTATTAGTACAGTCACCTTATACTCGGGCCGCTGCGTCTTAAAATCAATAGTTAATCAAATTACGAGCTCACGACGTTCTAAGTAAAATTCACGATCGAATTATATGATTAGATTTTCGTACGTAAGGTGCAAAGTTATATTCGAGTTCCCATTTTTTTTCTCTTTCTACTAAAGACGTGGGTGAATTCGAATTTTGTATTATTTACGATGCTATGGCATCCTAATCAAAATTATATTAGTCAATTTGATATATACTTCGTTGAAGCGATATTGCGAAAGATAAAGGAAAAAAAAATAAGGCGTCACTTACCAAATGAATTCGCGGCAATGCGAGCAGAAGGTAGGCTGTCTGAGGAAAGTCGCCATGAATTTATGACCATTGACCTGATGCACTCTTCTACGCATGGCACCGCGGCGTCCTTTGAATCCTTGCTGACGCTCTTTGAATTCCCGTTTCGGCTCCTTGCTAGTATCAGTCTCAGCCACATCATGACCCGATTGATGATCTCCATTGCTCCGATGAAGCTCGATCCTGATCCTTAACTTGCCTTGTGGCTCGAGATCAACCTGAAATTTACACGAATTTATTAAGGAGAGAAATTAGGGAGAAGATAATATTTGGTAACGCAAGCGCCGGATTTGCATAATAAACCAAGACTCTCTCAGTAATTTTCAGTCTTGCGTGGTCATTAGTTTAATTACTTAATTGCACATCTCGCGAGCAATATTTCTTTCTCATCAAGTGTGTGGCTCTATTAATTATGAAAAATGATCAAGTAGAAAATTCATATTATGTTGTTAATTTTAATACATTGTATTGCTTGTATGCTCACCCAGTATTTGGAATATTTTACTCCAATCTTATCGAGTGTTTCATGCTGAATTTGCAACAATCTTTGTAAGCACTTTATCATCCCATAATTGCGATGAGAGTTAAACATTTTTATCAAGCGAGTCAAAATGAGAAAGTAAAAGTTCAAGCCAAAATCTATGGCTTTTTTGAAGTTCGTTGAAAAGATAATATGAATTTGTGTATCTCTGAATGTAATATGACAAAATTAATTGCAATCATGTGTTAATGCTTATAAACAGAAGATGTTATCTTTGACTATTGTTACCGTGTATGAACAAGTGCATTACTTAGATAATTATCAAGATTTAGTCTTTACTTTTTGGATGGAATCAATAAAAAGCCTAGAAATTAAGAATATTATTTATGTTTGCTGAATCGAGTGATCACTTATGTTTGTGTAACATAAAAATGATTCAATTCTTATCTTTATCAATTATACACTTGAAAACAAGAGCATTGATGTGTTAACAAGTTATTTTTATACTCAGCCAATACTGCATATTCCACGAGTCATATAACTGTACATTCAGAAAAGTATTTGATTTCTTCTTCATTACCAAGAAATCATGTTAATAGTTACTGAGGATATTGTTTGTTTTCTTTTGTAACAAAGTGCACTTGAAATTCTATTTTATTCACGCCTGAAGTCTATTATTTTGCAGCAATGCAGTTAAGATCAAAATGCACAACTGAGCTAAATGTATAAATAAGCGATACTGATAGAAAGTTGATATTCGTACAAGTAATAGCAAGTTTCTCAGCATCCATCCCTACTCTATTTACAACAAACTGATAAGCAGCTATCTTTTTTATCTACAAGATAAATTATCTCACCCATAAGTCAGCAGCTTCATCCTCTCTTTGCATGAGATCTTCGAATGGTATACTGCAGTTGGCGACAAAATCATCAGGCTGCAGCGCAGCATTGTGGAAGACTGTGAGGCCTAGCAAGCAAGCGCTTTGAACCTCATGAGTAAAACATTCATTCCATATTGGATCAAAGGTCTTTGGTTTGGTAGATGACTTGTTTAAATACTTTTCATCTATGTCGACTTGTATATAAGGATCTAATATGGGTGACTCTTCTTGCCAGAACTTGCGCTGCTTGTCGGTGGCCCTGAGCCCGGAAGCTTCGCAAAGCTCCAATTTGATTGTGCCCGTAAACATGATGAGCAATGTAGTAGCAAGATTTGAAGAGACTGGTTGATTCAAGATCAGTTGGAGTTAAGATCCAGAAAACACTGTCACTGTTTTCTTGGAATTTTTTTGCAAAGACAGCAAGAAGAGAGACAGAAGTATATAGGGGGTTGAAGAATGAGCTTAACTATTGGATATAGATATCATTATCACAGAGCAGTCATGGATAACCAGCAAGAAAGCCTATCATTTGAATAGAAATTAGGTCACGCAGGCATGCAGGTTGCGTGAGAACAACACAGCGTAAGCGTATCTAGCATTATTGCCGTGTGCATGTGTGTGTATTAAAACAGTGGTCGAGCTCTTCTGTCGCTTCTTTTTCCGACTGCTCTTTCTCTCTCTCTCTTTCTGCAATGTAAATATAGCTGTGTGTATACGTTGCATGTACACAACGAGGCTACACTGCTACTGCTGCTCTCGTACGCTCTTTGCTGGACGCATCGTCGAGCATTAGCATCATGGGGAGGACGATCTCAGTGTCATGACACTTTCCTTCCTCTTTGTAAAACTGCCGCACTGCTGCTGCTATACACTTCCGTTTTCTGCACAAGCACACGCAGCTCCGCACGCACGACGATCTTCTTCTTCTTCTTCTTCTTTCGCTCACTGTCTGGGCCTCCGCGAGGACTCGAACGCCTCGACGCTGCGAGCCATTTAATCAAACTTTATATATATATCTGTCACTGCTCGAACGTCGTCCTTTCGAATTTAACACCAGCACGCACGCACGCAATTCTATTGATGCATGATGCGCGCCCGAACGCACTCCGGAGTGCCCCGATTGCGCGATGTACGCACAAAATTACACTGTATTCGCACTGTTCATCACTTGTGTACTGTGTAGCGCACGCAGGGACTGACGAGGTATAAACTAGCACTCAGCAGTAGCAGGACAGCAGGGAGAGCAGACTATATACAGTGTGACACACACACAAACACGCAGGACGATTTTTGCACGCACTCACGCACACACTAACTATACACAACGCTGCTGTATTATATCGGACAGGCAAGTCGCTCTCGACTTGGTTTTTCTCCACCACACACTATGACAATGATAATGGCAACAACAACAACAACGCAAGAATATCATACACTGTGACGATAAACGAAGCAGCAGCAACGGGGGATGTTTCCTTCTTTTCTTTTTTTTTTGTTTAACACGTCAACAATAAAAAATAGACACGGAGAGTGAGCGAGAGCGCGAGATATTAGTAGAGAGATAAAAGGAAAAACGAAGGCGAATACGCGAAAAAAAAAACCGAATACAGTGTATTATCCGCGCACGCTGGCCTAAACTGGCGCGTGCGTCCGCTGCCTTGCCTTGCCTTGCCTTGCCTGGCGTTAGCAGCGATTCTCTCTTTTGGCTTGAGCCACTATAACACGACGACTACGACGACGCCTGCTACGCTGCCTGCTGCACGCATTGGCCGAGTAGTGTGTACCAGCTCTCAGCACATGTTATATATATACGCGGACGCACGCACACAATGATCAGGAGCAGCAGCAGCAGCAGCAGCAAGTGTAAGCAGCAGTGGTATAGTAGCATGAGCTATCCAGCAGCGGTAGCAGCCCGTCATTATAAACTCACACATTCGTGTTTTCCCGAGGCAGACTCTCTGTACTCTCTACGTATTATACATATGTATAGGGTGTGTTTATTCTCTCCTCTCTGCGCTGCTCCGATGTTGCTCGCTAGTAGAGCCAAAGCTGCCTCTCTTTCTCTTTATTGTGTTGTACATGCGCGCCTCTCTGTAACGAGAGAGAGAGAGAGAGAGACAAGCTCTGTGTGTAGATGTATATAGCTTGGCCGAGGGCTGGCGCAAGCACAAGCCAAAGCGTACATACACGGGAGAACGTATATATAATATAAAAGCGCGAGTCTACTATAGACGCGCAGTAGAACCCATATTATAACTATATAGTTATATAGCGTCTGGGTACACACACCTACAACGGTATCTACCCATATGTATTGTGCATTAGTTACTAGTGCACGTGTACACAAGTCAACATTGGCGCGCACACACACAGACGCGCGTCTATTCTCTGTGTCCTTAGAGCAGTGTGTACGGCGGAGCAGTTGGCCTCGACGAGTTTATATATAAAAGCTCGATCGCATGTGCAGTTGCCGTGAGATATTTTATAGACGAGCAGCAGCGAGAGAGAACTTGAGCTTGCGCGGCAACGGCGGCGTCAGTGGCGGTGGTAGCTGTGGCAGTGGTGGTGGCGGCGACGGCGGCGCCCCCCGACTTCCTATACCACTGCGCCTACACCCACACACAAAGAGACCGCACACCAGCCAGAAGAACGCCGTAGGACTTGTATGTATATGCGTGCGCGCAGTCCACGATTCGCGGGTGTACAGCAGCAGCAGCAGCGAGCGAAAGCTCCGAACGTAGAGCGAGCTTTTTAGGCATGTGCATATAAACACACGACGTATACGAGAGAGCTCGCGAGCAAGCATGCAACGTACTTAATATAATGCACACATAATAATATTGTGTGTATAGAGTACTACGCGTACACGACTCGACATGTACGAATATATATAGTTATATTTATTGGCAAAGTTGCGAAGGCTGCGTGCAGTCGCTATACATTGCTTTTAGGCGAAACGTATTAGCGAGCTTCTCTCTCTCTCTCTCTCTCTCTCTAACTCGATACAATTCTTTTTTTTTCTTTTTTGCCACACGAAGGTCGATGACTCGCGAAGGGCTCTGCGTGTGCAGTATATGTACGATGCATGCAGGTGGTATTTGAATATTTCTCGCTTTTTCTTTCCTTATTTTTTCAATAGCAGCTGGTGGTGCTGCTAGGACGGCGACACACTGACACAGTTACGCGCGCGCCCTATATGCCCCAGCAGCAGCAGCAGCCCGACGAAGCACATTTGTGTTCGACTATATAGGATTATATTCGTGTACTCTCTGGCTGATGTATGTAGCGTACATGCATACGGCATCATAATGCGCTTTTGCCTGCGGAGTTTGGCTGGATTTATGTATACGTACGCACTATGTTGAACGCGTTTCGATCGGCCTAAAGTACGAAAGCTGTATACGATGATGAGCATGAAGCGTTGTTTTTTGTTTTGTTTTTCAATAATACGAAAGCTGATTGAATGGGAGCTATTATGAGCTGCGTATGCCGAATCGAAAAAGATAATGCGTAAGTTCGAATTGGCCGATGAAAAGAGAACATCTTTTATTATGGGAATATTGACGTTTGAGCGTGACGATATGTTTCAAACTTGAAATTTCAGTTTATTTTAACGACATGAAAAAATTTTAAGTAGGAATAGACGTTCGAGTCTAGACCTCGAATTATTTTCTATTTCTATCAATTATTAACTGTCAGGACTATTGAAATCACACCAAAGCCACGATAAAAATTGAAGTATTTTAAATATTTTTTTTGATTGAAACTGTGTCGTTTTTATTATGGCTATTAGGTGTCTCCTGCAAGTCAAAAAATAAAAGTCCATTACTTACCAAGTACGTATTTAGTCATACGTAATGTCGATGCGGCTTCTTCGGCTCTGTTGACAAACACAGTCTGCGACGTATTAGCTTTCTTATTTACTTCCGCAGCTCTCGGTTTACGATATCCCAATTTTTCGGTTCCCGCGAAAAAGAGGAAAATAATAATTTTATAGCAATAGTATGAATAATCAATCTTTATCAATTTTCATTTGTCAATTATTGTATTTTATTACTAGAGGAGTCAAAATTTACAATTTACAATCAAAGGATAGGTTATTTAAAAAAAAACAGTCAGCGTCGACAATGACGTTTTCTACCTTACCGGTAGGTGTCTGCTTTTGCTAGGCCGTCTGCTACAAGTGCCTGCCAAACAGCAGCAGACGCCTCGCAGACGTGCACTTGTTATTATTGTAAGAGCTTAGTACTGCTGTGTAACTGCGACGAAATAGCTGCAGCTATACTTTTTGGATCTCTTTAATTTATCCGTTGTCAGTTTTTATCTCTCTCTCTTTCTCTTACTCTCGACATTCGAGGTAATGATTAGTATCAGGGTATGTCAACTCTTCGCTTAAACATGGCCAAGCTAACGAGATCGGTTTGGGGCTTGTCCTCGAACTTCGCATCGAACCAGTACTTTTCACGGTTATTGGCGTGAGTATATGCATCGCTCATTAGAAACCCGGTTTATTACTTATTCATGATGTGACAGTCGGCGTATGTCAGTGTCTATTTTTGTTCTCGTTCAGTAGTGCATAATCTAATGTAACAGTCGTAATCATTACTCACAGAAACGTTCATTTTCCTTATTCCAAACAGTACACCATTGACAACTAATCACAGCTTTGGATTGAGCAAATTTTCAACTAAAACAGAAAATGACGTTTGCGAAGATGAAATCATTATCAGTGACAGTTGCATCAAAAGACTGAAAGAAATTATGCAGGATGGCAGTTGTTTGAGGGTTACTGTAGAAGGTGGTGGATGTTCTGGCTTTCAATACAAATTTGATCTTGATTCCAGTATTAATGAAGATGATAAGTAAGTATTAATTGGAACATTTGCAGTCAACAGTAAATATATTCTGTTTTTGTAATAATAACCCAATTTTTAGAGTCTTTCAAAAAGATGGAGCCAAAATTGTCATAGATTCAACATCTTTAGATTACATTAAAGGAGCTACTATTGATTATCATACTGAATTAATTAGATCAGCATTCAGAATAATAAATAATCCTTTGGCTGAGCATGGATGCAGTTGTGGAGCTAGTTTTTCTATTAAGTTAGACTGAAGAATATATAGACAATATTAGGCCTATATGAATTTTTAAGTATACTTAAATTTTGTGATCTGTGAAGCATATGAAAAGTGAAAGAATTTTTCTTTAAAATTTTTAATTGGAAACAAGAAAAACAGTTATTATAATTGTACATAATTAACGCTCTCAGAGTGATCGTTAAAATTTTTATTATTTAAAATTTTTTGTTATAATAATGCAGTACCAAGTCAAAACGATCTTGGACTTAATTGCAGTTAGGAGCACGTTGAAAATCGATAGTATGTTTGTAATATTTACAAAATTCTTGACAAGCATCTTGGAATGTGACAAAATTCATAGTGATGGCAGACTTTATCTCCCTCGCTTACCATTCTGAAAGAATATTGTTGTATGTTACTTTATAGATATTGATAAATATATCGTCAGTGTAATAAAAGTAATTTGTTGATGTTGTAAATTTTAATTCGAACTTACTTTGTTTGAAAGTTCAAACTTTAAGCGTTGTATTTCATCGGTTTGATTAATGAGCTTCTCATTCATATTAGCCAAATGTTCACTCATAGTGTTTAATTGCAATTTATAGTTTGCCTCTTGCTGTTCCATCTCTTGTTGTAAGTTTTTGTATTTTTGAAGAGCATCGGCTAACTCTGCCTCGCACTTTTCCCTTTTTTCCTCACTAGCATCCAAATGAACATTCATAACTTCCGTCTACACATAAAATTATTAGTAAAAATTAATTCATTGATTCAGTTAACACAATAAATACAATCAAGTACTCACATTAGCAGCAATAGCTAAATTTCTAACATGGTACAAATATTTCTCTTTGAACAGTTTATCCATTTCTTGCATGTAATATTCTGAAATTCTTTTTTCACGAGCTTCAATTTCTTCTGGTAGAGCAAATGGTTTAGTCAACTTGCCAATCTACACAGAATATTTTTTATTATAACTACTTTTAATATTGGTAATTTTATAATTTATATGAAAAGACTAACTAATAATTAATGAATATTTACCATATTGCTAACTTGAACTGTTTCCAAACCATTTGCATCTAGTCTTTGTTGTTCATTATTTTCTTTTTGAGCAAGTTCGTCAAATTTTATTTTTAACGTATTATATTGGGTCCTCCAATGAGTCAATTCTTTTTCTAACTCACATAATTTTGTAAAATCTATGTCATCACTTCTAGTGGCACCAATTTCCACAGTTGATTTTGATGATCTTCGTGAAGCTGAAGGTGTTGAGAACGGTGATGGATCCTGTTTGCTATTTGAAGATCCAAATTTTAAATCAAAATCATAGCTTTCTTTTTTACCTTCTCCACTTGACCATGAAACTGTTTCTTCTTTCCTTACTTTTTCACTACATTTTCTTAAAAGATCACTTTTTTCTTTTTCCAATTTTTCTATATTGGTTTGGTATTTATTATCTAATTCAATTTTAACTTTTTGGGAAATTTCAAGTTTATTTTCTAAAAATTGCACCCTATCATGAAGGTTGTCAAGTTCAGTATTTTTCTCACTCAATTGGGTTAACAAAGTTGCATTTTCAACAATTTTTTTCTGAAATTCTTCGTCAAGTATGTGATTAGGTGGTACTGGAACTGTTTGAGCTTTACTTTCATTTTTACTTTTGGTTTTTTTTGTTTTATTCTGTATGTTATCAAGATCCTAAAAATAATTATATTAATAAATATGAGCTAAAATTCCATGAATCAAATGGAGTACTCTACCTCTTGTAGGACAGTAACACGTTTAGTTAATTGTTGATTGCGAAAAGTAAGACTGTCGAGTTCTTGTTCAGCTCTCCTTAGTTCTACTTCCTTTACTTTGAGTTGTTCTTTTGTTTCAGCATTACGCGTTTGCTCATCGATCACAGCTTTTTTTAGAACACTCAATTGTGCACGAATCTGAAAATAAGCAATCAATGCATCAGCTGTAGATCCAAACACTAGTTAATAATTATATTTTACCATAATTAAAATTTATGTATTGTATTGAGCAAAAGTATTATGGCTAACTGATAAGAAACAGCTGATCATAATCAGCAAGTGCATCATGCTTCATTGTACAAATATTTCAAATTCAGTGACCTACTATGTGACTTGAAACAATACTCATTCAAAACGTACAAGACATTGTTCATTTACCTTTGAGTACTCGGTGGCTAATTTCTGGTACTTAATAGACAGCTGTCCATCAGAATTATCCATAGCTGCCAATAATTTTTTTATAAGACTTGTTCTCTCTCTCAGTTGTACTAACACCTGTATACTCCACTATTGCTAACGTAAAAAATTACTTTCTGCGTGTGTATGTATGTACAATTCATATCTCCATCGACTACGAGCGATAAACGATCGGTGTCATAATGAAACTTCCTGGTGTCAAGCTAACACTGTTTGTGTAAATGTATACTATCGCACAACGGATTCGCACTCGCCTTTACTATTTAAAGCTCTCTTTCTTTCTCTCAAAACGACACTAACGTCGATTCACGGGTACTACTTTCACTTTGCACGGTCGGTCAATCATAAATCAATTAAAAATCCCTTCACTCTTCTTCTGCTACTACACGATACTCTACATGTGTCAAATTTCCTTCCAAAAACAATTGCGAATTACGTTCGCCCCCCAGTTGCCGTTAAATGTCACGACGACGTGCAGTTGTGCAGCATCGGTAGCAGTAGCAGTAACAACCGAGGTGCCTGCAGAAGTGCTCGCAGCATCATGCTGCGACCGATGAATAATAATAAATATAAGCGCGATTCGTGTGCGGAGGCGTGCGAAAATAGCCTCTCTTCTCTCTGATCTCTCTCTCTCTCTCTTTCTCTTTTCACGCAGTGTATGATCTCTCTCTTTCACAGATGGTCGGCGAAGATGCGAACATTTTGCGTAGATAAGCGAGATTCAACGGCGGCGGATTAGGCACTGTGTACTATACTCGATGACATATTTGACAGCCGAGGTGTTTTTAACGTAGCCGAGCGTAGGAGTGTTTTTCTGTGTTGACAATGTCAAGGCACGGGGGAGTATACACAAAACACAGTGCTGTGTATGCGTGAGCTCGTCGAAGTGCATAATGTTATGATTATTGTTACTCGCTCGATAGGTAAAGTAGATTGCTGCATGAAAAATTTAAAATTCGATCACTTACGTATACGAAATCAATCGAATTACATGATGTTTCCGTGACACTCCGTTACTCGATTAATTATCACCCGCGATCTTCGGAAATTTTTCGTTCTCAATTAAAAATCGAATAAGATAGTAATTATGCGTGGATAAAGAAGCTATATCTGCGGACGATAATAGTATCAAAATGCGCATATCAAAATATTCTCGTTTTATTGGCTGTCGATATAGCTTGGAACGTGAGTTCGCGCGGCGCGGCACATCGAACTCGTGTAACAAATATCGAGTTACACGTGGGTTACAGTTCGGAAAAGGACCTCGTCTACCTATACATTATCGATAACACAATTAACAGGCGACACATTTCGCTCGTGGAGCACAATTGACGAGCGCTTCGAAGCTGTTTCCCAATTCCCTACTCTAAATATGCCTAATTTCCTTCGACTATTTGTTTCCAACGCCGAGGCGAGCTTGAACACGATATCTAATTTAATTTGCTCTACGACTAACTGCAGCTGTAATGCTACATCGACAGGCCGAAGCAGCAGCAGCGTTTAATTATTATTCGAAGTATAGAGAGTTTGGCGCGCGCGAACGCGGATAAAATTTATTACATAAAAGGCAGCAGCAGCAGCCTTCCGCGTCGAATTATGCATCGGGTCATTTGCCCGTTTTTAATTTACGATCCAGGCATTAATTGACAATTTTTAATCAAGCCTGCCTATTGTCTCGACATTATACATCATATTATGCTTGAGCTCAGTAGTATAGCAGCTGCAGCAGCTCACTCGGAGTTCTCGGGGTTCCCCGCGCGCCCGCGTATTGATTCTTGTGCAGTAGCAGCAGTAGCACCAAAGGCAGAGTATATATAGAAGCAGCAGCAGCCGCGCACAGAGCTCACAAAACAGTATATGTAATACAATGCAACTGAGTCATTTAATTTTATATCATTAAATTCTGTCATTATATGCAGAGGGGGAAGAGGGGGAGGATGCCGCGGGTAGGGGAAAATTCAATATGGATAAATTTGCGCGAATGAGGTGCGTATATAGCGCAGCAATATGCGCGTAGTATATAATATGCCAAAAGCTCGTATTTATGGCGAGTAATTAATGTAAAATTTCTACGCAAAATGTGTGCGGCATTGATGTAGCTATACAGCTGCGCTGTATGTATATATATTCTGTGGTGGAAAGGGAGAACCGACCAACTCCATTTTTCGTGTTTCCGAGAAAAACGTGTTTGAAGTCGCGTATGAATGGGTAGATAGACGCGGACAACTATAACTCTGTACCCGTGATATTTTAAATTACTATGATGTATCTTTTGGCCCATGTAACTATCAAATTGATAGAGTAAATGCGAAGCGAAAAAAGTGGACTTGGTCGGTTTGACTGGGAAACGTTTTGCGCCCAAGTCTACGTGCTCAATTTCTAAGTTGCTGTATAACCATCAAAAACTAACAAGTGGATTCGATAGTAAACTTCCTCCGCTTTCTGATGGTAATATCAGATTTTCCGAAATTTTCCATTTTCACCAAGGAAATCGCCATCAAACATTCAATATCTCGAACATCGCACATTACTGCTGCGTCAAGTGCCCTTCGGTCGCAGTGCTCCGGCAGCATCCAATGATACGAGAGTTGTATATACAACGTTCCAATATCGTATTCCATCATTTTTAAACCAAAGTTAATTCGATATCGCGTTGAAGGTTTTGCTGAGATGGTCTTGGTTGGTTTGGCCGGTCACTGTTTGTCTCAAAATGGACTTGGTCGGTTTTGCATTGTGCTGTACCAAACGATAGACACAATTTCCGGTCATTCAGACACTTGCACATCAAAGTTGACACTAAATGTAGGTGTTTAACGTCATAAACTCGATTTCGAAAAAAATGGAGTTGGTCGGTGATTCTCCCTTTCCACCTCAGATATGTAATATAAAATAATTGGCAACCTTATCGTGTAATTCTTTTTTGCCCACCATTTACAGTGTATGCGTATTAGGGCAGAACGAAAAAACGCTTTTGATGCGGATCGCTTTGTAATAGTAATTTATTGAAAGTATAAGATGAAAAAAGAAAAAAGCCGCGCGCTGGACGCGAACAAATGATGTCTTAGGTGGTGCATTAAGCCTGAAGCTTGAAATTCGTAAAAACAATATTTTTATGCTTCAGTAAGAAATCTTTGCGAAATTTCTCGGCGCTGGATTTATCGATTGGGCTGAAAGTTTCAGGGCTTGTTTTAATTATGAACATGAGTTTTTTTGTACAATTTTAGCTCTCTAGGAGCCTTAGAAGCAAAAATATAGTCATAGGAAGGTTGAAAAACGACGTTACATTAATTTTTTTTGTGCTATTTCTATCTCTGTACAGCTGTACGCTGAGTAATTTTGCTACTATTGAGACGAACAAGTAACCAATTTTTTCGTCTTTTAAAGACGTTTTCAACCATATAACTTTGTATAGGGTTTTTTTAATTTTTACTGAAGTTACAATATAAAACGTTTAACCTTTTGTGTCACGCTCGAAACTACATTTGTTATTATTTTTTCAGTTGTTAAGAGTTACACATGCTAGACAAACTTGAACCGCAATGATAGTTATATAAGGATACAAAATTACCTTTAATTTCGTATATTTAAAAACTCTCAAAGTCCTTTAGAATCGGAGATACAGCTGTTTAAAGTTTTACTGAAAATTCAATATTCAATTCTGTGATGATCATACCGTATCTAGTCTATGATAAATTCACAGATTTAGTTCTTTCATTCACATGAAGACATCATTTGTTAGTGCCCAGCTCGCGGCTTTTCTCTTTTATTTCATCTTCTATTTTCAATAAATTACTATTACAAAGCGATCGGCGTCAAAAGCGTTTTTTCGTTCCACCCTAATGTGTACGTTTTAATAAATATTATTCAGTTATACTTACATCCTCTTTCGGTGGTATAGAGAAACAGTATCATTGGATATTTTACAAATATACAAACAAAAATATAACGGAAAGAGGAGAAACAAGCTAAAAAGGAAAGAAACACGCATAATGGCTCAACGGTTTTAATGAAATTTACCGAGTATAATTTTCAAATGCATTGGCCTCGGCCGCTAAATGATAATTACAATGTTCACGTAAGCATATAAACAATAGGATCTCGCGTACAATTTCTCTCCTCTCTCTCATACGCACACACGCACATTTGTGCATGCGTATACGCGTGAGTGTACGTGTGTGTGTGTGTATTAAAGCTGGAAGCTGCGGCAACTTACTGAAAACACACTCGGCCTCGTTAAAGCTTGCGCGTATCATGCGGATACAGTATATATGAGCAATTCTCCAAATGAAACGCATTTTTTGAGGTAGAATCGCGACAAATTTTTTTTTCAACCTACGTGGATACAGACCCCCGGGAAATGTTTTTGGGGGTCCTAGGAACCTGTAACCACGTAGGAACCATTGAAATTTCGATAGTGCTTATTTTTATAGCTACTTTTGTGATTTAGAGGACGAAAAATCATGTTTTCTCGTAAATACGGCTAATTACTCAATTTCTAAGTCGCTGAAAAAGTATCAAAATTCATCTAAAAAAAATAACTGACTACTGTGTTCGATAGGAAATTTTCTCAGCTTTCCAATGGTGGTATCAGATTTTCCGATAAATTGCACATTCACCGAGAAAATCACCATCACACATTGAAGGCTAAATATGTCGAAAAATTCAGTACGGAAAAAGTGAACTTTTTGGATAATTGTTGATTTTTCCTTGTGAAAATGAAATTTATCGAAAAATCTGACTACACCATGAGAAAGCCAAAGAAATTTCCTATCGAAAGCATATCTTTATTTATTTTTTCGGTGGAATTACAATGTTATACATGGGAATTTCTTTCACGTTGTTCGCTGTTTTCTGTTTCCGAGCTGATTCAGCGCGGTCGCGAGGTTTTCGGCTCGCTACAATCAAAACTAGCTCGTAATTCCACCGAAAAAATAAATAAAGATATGCTTTCGATAGGAAATTTCCTCAGCTTTCTTATGGTGTAGTCAGATTTTTCGATAAATTTCATTTTCACGAGGAAAAAT